AATTTAGCTCTTGAAGAACTATCATAAAATTATTTCTTATAAATTATTTAATGAATAATTGAGACGTCGCATCTTGAAAGGGCACATGCTCCAATTATTTCAGACTTAATTCTTGTCCCTTGATGCGGTAATATTTAAAAATTGTTCAATATTAAATTTGAAAAACGTTTTTTATTCTTCAAATATTAAATAATTAAAAATTTTACCATTTAAGGCCTTTTATTATACATTTTAAAAAAGTAATTTAAGACACTAAGTCAAAATTTGTATTTTGAATAATTCTAATTGATTAACAATAGTGGATTTAAGAATTATTTTAGGTGAACTTTCTCAAAAATTATTAAAAATAATTATTTAGAGAAAAATTTTAGTTGACTTACAAGAAGAAGGAGAAGAGAAAAAAAGAAATAAGTGGCTTACTTGGGAAATTCTAAATACAGTTCTGTTTTCGAGTGAATAAAACGAAGGAAGACAAATATCAATGGAGGTAGTAGGGTTTCAATAAATTCATCTCCACAGAACAAGCGATTGTTTTCCCTTGTCTAAGGACACGAGAGGAAATGAGTATAAGGGGGAATGGATGGAATAGGACGGAAGAGGGTGGTTCGGCATTCATCGGACATTTATCCAATTAACCGGTTCGAGTTGAGCAACTGGGGGTTAGGTGATACTCGCATACATGCATGTATATTATATACATATACTAAGATCATTATACACGGATGAAGAGTAACGACTACTTTGAACCGCTTTTCCTATGTGGCTAATGCACGATGCTTATGTTTCATTACAGAGGCTGATATTGACGGCTTGGTATGTACGAATGTACGAATGTACGAAAGTCACAACCCTTTCCACCCTCCAAGGGTGAGTAGTTTCGGTGTCAAAGGGCAAGAGAGGGGCACGGCACATTGCAAAGCTGTCGAACAAAATGGCCAGCAATATTGTCCTGGAGAAGAAGAGCAGAAAGGGACAAGCAGAGATCGCCACACACACACACACAGAGAGAGACTGACATTTGGAAATTAATTATACGCTCCTAAAAGTCGCAAGCTTTGCCACCAACAGACCAACTCTTCTATATATACTCCTTTGTTTGCCTAAACCTACTGATATCGCGGCTGACGTTCATAATACTGTCTTCGTCTCAACTATAATAGCGCCCCTTTTTCTCATTGACATATATATTATGCAATTTATTATACAGCGACACTACTCCTTTAAAACTGCTTTTAGTATCGTCGACTAAATATACACAACTATAGTGATGTACACAAGCTGATTGTATCTCTCTTTTTTTCATACGAACCAAATTCTCTTAAAATAAGATTCTTTTCACTAAAAAGGCACCTCAAAAATCCCACTTCAACTATTTTATTCTACATCAAGAAAAAAAAAATTTTTAATCCAAAAACAGGTAGCCAACCAAAAAAATAGGTTTGAATTAATTAAACACATTTTATAATTGAATTAAAGTCAGGGTTGCCACACTTTTGCTCATTTTAAATTCCCTGACTTTTCCAGGTTTTCCAGGTTTTTAAAACTATTTATATTTTACAAAATTAAATAATTAGTCATTAGAATTTTTCCATAATAATTAACCCACGTGAAAAAGTTCCCGGGAATGCACTCCTAGGAAATTCCAACAGGAAATTCCAACAGGAAATTTTGGTAAAAATGTTGACAAATTAGTTTCCAATTTATCGCAAATAATCAGATTTTCTTCATAAAATTTCATAGTTCTGTCAATTACAATTAATAAAATCAATATTTAATAGAGGAGGAAGGTCTAAATTTTAAATTCGAGATATAGTTCGATTTTGTAACATTTTTGTGAAAATAACCTAATTTATCGTAAATTGTCAGATTTCCTACATAAAATTTCCGAGTCTTGACAACTACAATTGATAAAATCGATATACTAGAGAAAAATCTAAATTTTGATTTTGAGATATAGATTTTGTAACATTTTTGTAAAGTTAACCTAATTTTTCAAAAGTCAGCTATTTTGAATACTTAATGTATTGCTGATTGCTCAGTGTTTTGTAACGATAAGAAAAGTAATCAAGATGATAATGATATTTTCAAGACAAGAAAAATGATTATATTTTAAGGAAAGATTTTTTCAGAGACAGTGGAAGAAAATCATGAATTTTTTTAACTGATAAAAATTAGTTAGGCTAATACCTGCAATATTAATAATTCTCTCGTTTTTTAGAATCTTTTAAAATATCCTGGAATAATAATATAACGTCCTAAATTGTTGCAAAAATGTAAGAAAAATTGTTTGGTTAAAACCTAATACGTTTATTCATTTAAAGAATGTTTTCATAAAAATTACGATACAATATTATTGAAGTAATGATAATAAGTACACGGTAAATCGTTAGGTATTAAAATAACACCAAAAAGGATTAAAATAATCCAATTTAGTGTTATTTTAACACCTAACGATTTACCGTGTAATGATAAGTAAAAATTAAAAATCGAGATTTTCTGTTGGAATTTCCTACTGGAATTTCCTGCTGGAATTTACTGTTGGAATTTCCTAGGAGTGCTTTCCCGGGAACTTTTTCACGTGGGAAAATTCTTCAAAAGATTTAAATTCAAACCTTTTTGAAATTAAACAACTTATAAAAAAATTGTTATAAAACATGAAGAAATGAAGTCTTCGACTCGGCGCAATCGATATCCTCATGTTTTATATAAATAATTAAAAATGACCGACTGATAAAATCATTATTTCATTATTTGAAAATAATTGCAATTTTGCCAAGATTTTTATTAAAATTTTTGAAAATAATTGAATTTTTGAGAAAATTTTCATTATTTATAAAGATAATTGAAATTTTAAGGATAATTTTTTTTTAACTTTTGACCATAATTGAATTTCTGCGAAGAATTTTTATTACTTTTGAAAACACTGTAAAAACAGTGTCTCAATGTAAGACGTTTCTGTCCCCACTTTTGAAACATTTGAGGTGTTTTACCTCAATAATTTTGAGGTAAAACACCTCAAATGTTTCAAAAGTGGGGACAAAACGTCTTACATTGAGACACTTGTTTTTACAGTGAATAATTGAATTCTTGAGACGAATTTTTTAATAATATTTCTTTTTAAACACCTAATTGAATTCTTTTGTAAAATTTTATTGAAATAAATTAAATTTCTAAATAGAATTTTATTAAAATTATTTTGAAAAAAATTGAATTGACAAAAAGAATTTCATTAAAATTTTTGAAAATAATTTAATTCTTTCAAGAAATTAAATTTCTTTGATGAATTTTCAATAAAATTTTTAAGAATAATTACATTTTTCGAGAAATTGCATTAAAATTCTATTAAAAATAATTGAAATTCTGCAAGAATTCAATTATTTTTATAAATAATTATTTAGAAAGAATTGTTAAGAAGTTCTTCACAAGAATTCAATTATTATTTAAATATTAAAATTCTTGCTAGGAACTCAATTATTTTTAAAAATTTAATAAAGTAGTTCTTCGCAAGAATTCGATTATTTTTATAAATAATAAAATTTTTCGCAAGATTTTTATTATTTTTATTACAATTTTAAAGGTAAAAAAAATAAAAAATTTTTCAAATTTTTCTCCAAAAATGTAATTATTCTGAAAAATGTTATTAAAATTCTTCGAATGAATTCAATTATTTAAAAAAAATTTAATAAAGTTCTTTGCGAGAATTCAATTATTTTTATAAATATTAAACTTTTTCTTAAAAATTCAATTATTTTTAAAGATTTTAATAAAATTCTTTGCGAAAATCCAATTATTCTCATAACTAATCAAATGCATCTCAGCATTTCAATTATTTTTAATGCAATTTTAAATTAGAATTCCTCCAAAAATGCAATTATCGTCATAAAATTTTTATTAAAATACTTTAAAAACAATAAATTATTTTTAAAAATTTTAAAAAAATTTTAATAAAGTTCTTGCTAGAAATTTAATTAATTTTAAAAATTTGTCAAATTTCAATTATTTTCAATATCTCTAATTTTCAATAAAATTTTCTAAAAGAATTCAATATTATTTTCAATATCTCTAATTTTCAATAAAACTTTCCAAAAGAATTCAATTATTTAAATAACAATTTGAATACAATTTTTCGCAAGAATTCAATTATTTTCATAACTCATAAAATTCTACGGAAAAAAATTCATAATTATTTTTAAAAGAATTTGAATGAAATTTCTTAATGAAATTTAATTATTTTTAAGAAGTTAAGCTAAATTTGTTGACAGAATTCACTTAATTTTTAAAATTATAATAATAATCTCTTCAGAATCACAGTTTTCTTGAAAGTATTAAATTGTCACTAAAGTGTATTAATTATTCATACAAAAAGTTATATCATTTTTATATTTGATTCACATTTTGGTATCAAATTGATACACTTTAGTTTCAATTTGTTACTTTCAAGAAAACTGTGAAGAATTCAATTATTTTCAATAAAATTTTAATTAAATTCCTCTTACGAACTTAAATTTTCTTCAAAACAATTACATTTGTATTTTTTCAAATTTTATTTTTTCTTATTATTTTTATCTTTTATTTTCATAAATAATTAAATTTTTCCAGGAATTCCATTATTTAATAAATTTAATTTAATTTCAATTATTTTTAATACAATTCTAAATGAATTTCTCGTGTTAAATTAACACTTCTTTATTTCTGTGATATTAATTCAGCAAGTTTTATTTTACATTCAGATAGATATCAGAAATTTAGATAAAATAAATCTAAAAAAAATACTCACTAAGTAGGGAGGGGGTCAAATTTCCGAAAACAATAACGGGGGGTGGGGGTTTTAATATTGTATTACGAATTGTAACACAAGGAGAGGAGGAGGGTCCTAAACTTGTCCTTAAAAGCGTTACGTAATTTAAAAACGATCCCCCTTGTAATTTTACGATTCATAAAAATGCGATGTTCAAGAATTAAATACAGAAAAAAGAGAATAAAAAATAAATGCAACATACCTCAACACACTTGTCTCGTTTGATCTTGAAAATCCCGAGTGTCAGAGAGGAGAAAGAGCACACTAGAGTTGTGGTTTGCAAGCTTCTGAGTTCGTTAGTGTATAACGAAGGGCTTACCTGCAAACAATTATTATAATATAAAGTCACGTTAAAGCAAAATAATTGGTTCGCATTGAGGCTAATTATGTTTTCTGCGTCAATACAGGAAAGAGTTTATATACTTATATCGATTTTATTCTATTTTAATACATTCCTATAATAAATACAATGTACAATTGAATAAATCAATAATAATGAGGAGACAAAATAATACGACCTCTAGATAATTTTCATTATCTTTTAAGAGAACAATATCAAGAAAAGTATAAAATAAAAGAAAAATGTATTATTCGAAAGCTGAATATATTTTCCAATCAGTAAACATTTATCTTTATTATCACTATTATTATTATTATTATTATTATTATTATTATTATTAAATATTTAAATTTATCACTCGGTCGTCTTAGTTTAAATATAAAACATTGAGTTGAACGATCACTCCGAGTCAACTTTACTCTGAGTGATCGTTCAACTCAATGTTTCTTTTTATTATTACTATTTATATTGAAATAACACTAATATTATAATAATAATTATTATACAGTTTAACATAAATTATTAATTACTAAACACCTTTGATCGAATCATAATAACTGTCAGTCTCCCCCCTGAAGTGTGCATTTCATTCACGTTTGTATTGTCTGACCACATATCGACTTTTCTACTGTAAATTGTATATTTTTACGTGTGTCAGCAAGTCACAGCATTGAGAAGCAATCATAAAAAGAAAATATAAAAAATATAAAATACTTTTCTTTTTACTACATCAAGTGTCCAAGTTTAACAAGATGGTGTTAAATTTAAGTACTCTTTGAGAATGAGACAGGAGTTCTGATTTTAATGTTTGATCCATAAATTTTCGAGGTATCCGATTAGCAGCGAAGGAAAAACTGACAAAGGAATTTCTTAACCAGGTTACGAGATGAAAAAATCTGCACTTTGCTTAAGGAAGAGATATCAGAACAAAAGAAGTATTTCCTTGGGCGTAAAATCGCATTAGGGGTTGAGGGGGGTAGTGAAGGGCGGATTTATAGAGAACTGATTTGAAAGAAGGGTCTCGCGCGAACAAACTGACGAATGAGACAGCTTCAGTGACGCCTGTGTTTGTATCCCTTTAACAGTCCACCTACACCCCCCTCAATTCTCATTATGAATAATGATCAAATCACATTTATAATTTTTAAGAAAATTTCATTTCTTTCGATTTTTGTTTTATCTTTGAATAATTGTTTTATTAGAAATGTTTTATTTTTGAATAATTGTTTTATTAGAAATGTTTTATCTTTGAATAATTGTTTTATTACAAATGTTTTATCTTTAAGTAATTGTTTTATTACAAAAGATTAGAAAAATTGAAAGTAAATTTCAATAGAAATATCTCTATCTTCTTTAATTGTCAGATTGAATAATAAAAACTCAATAATCGTGCCGCGATCTTAAGATTGGACGTTAGAAGCAAAGGAATTATAGGTTATGTTTGTGATAGATTTATCTTGATTAAGTTTTTTTTTTAATTAGACCGTAAAATCGAAATCAGTTTTTATTGATTACTTTGGAAGGAATAGGGACTTAAACATCAATAAATTGTATTAATAGTTGATCTTTTCTTTTTTCACTCCAAAAATTAAACATAACCTATAATTTTTTCGATTCTAAGATCCCTTCCCTATAAGAGAGAAATGAAAATATACTAAAACATTTACACAAAATTTTAAAAATAACTGAGAAATTAGTCAATTTGACGACAAATGCCATATTTTTATAGATATGATTGAATCAGCAAGCTCTATTTTACTAATTGAATTATTAAATTTCTACTACTTGTCAGTAACTCAATTTAAATTTAGTAGTAAATCTTTAGAGTAGTGGAGTCATTCACAGTTTATAATTGTTATTTTGATTTATTTTAAGATTAATTTTATGTCTTTTTCAGTTTTTTCTTCTACTTTTTTTATTTGGTTAGAAACTGTATATTTTCTTCTACTGTATTTTTATTGCTTGTTCTCGTGCTTTTCCTGGGCCAAAATAAAGAAATTCTAATTCTAAAATGAATTTGTCTGGTTATTAACTTTTACGATATTAATAATAACTAAATTTACTTTAATTCTCATCATTCTATCAGAATTAAAATGTTCACGAAACTTAAATGAATATAAAAAATGTAAGTAAATAAATAAATAAATGTAAAGAAAAATTAACAAGTTCAAAAAGAAGAAGAAAACAACAAGAGGTTCAAAAATGACAATAGTTTGGAATTGAAATATATATCAGAATTGAGCGATATTTGTAAACATTTTAATTTCTTTCAACTAACCTCTTCTTACCAGGAATTTCGTCAAAGGCGGTCACAATTTTTTATTCATTTTTAAAAAGAAACTGTTCGAAATCTCCTAAAATTCAAACATCTAACACCCTTTTCTCGAAAACCATACAATTCTAAATAGTATTCACCTGGAAAAAATGAGAAATTTGTACATAAGACACACTCTTAACTAAAAATCGAAGAATCCACATCTCCCCCTCGAATCTCATTACCTAGTGAATGTTTGAAAATGAAATCACGTTTTTCCGTTCGCGTTCCTCGAGATGTCGAATGAATTTTAATTGGACTTCCGACAATTTCAAACTTCTTATATTTATATCCATTGATTGCAACAACAAAATGACAAGAAAATGCTAATTTTTCTATACATTCATCACGATTCGTACCCAATAATTACAATATCGTACCGAATAATTACAAATTTTTATCATATTTTTTTCAATACCTAATTTTTGAAATATATTTTATAAAAAGACAAATAGCACCTATATCTTAAATTATTCCGGCCTGTTAAATTTCAAGAACCTTGTAATGGACCTCCATCGAAGGGTGAAACATTTCCGGGGCACTCGGAAATGAAAACGATACATCTGTATTTTTTTCAACTGCAAGCTAACACGAACTACTTTTTTTGCACACAGCAAATATGCCTATTCACTGAGAAAAAATTTGTTTCAATCCAAAAATAAAAATAAGTAGCTAACCATTAATTCGAAAATAATTTTTGGTTGACTGTATAACAAAGATAATTATCAAATCAAACATTCCGTTTTTCCGCATTGTAGGGTCACTTTTAACTCAAAAGTATCAAATTACAACAAATTGATACAAAAATTGTGAATCAAATTAAAAATTGATGAAAATTTATTGCCATTAATTTGAAGAAAAAAAAAGTTTTAAGAAAACTGAGGATGGAAATTTCTTTTAAATTCTTCTCTCTATGAATCCAAGTATCTAGATTGATAAACAATGAAAGGAAAAAAATTCTAAACACCCCTTTAAAGGAAAAAATATGCTAGTATAGATAAATGTGGAATTCTTTTTTCAAAACTTCCGTTTTGTATATAAGGCTCTTCCGTCATATAAGGTCGATCGTTACATTTTTTGTTGCCGGCTGGTTGTGTATTGTTTGATATTCCAAGACGGTAGCGATGATGTTTTACCGATTGGAGAATTTACAGAGGGTGAGAGAGACAGGTTTTAAACCCAGTGGAGCTATAATGTTCCGCAACATCTTGTGGAGCACTTGACACGCCCCATGTTTTGCTACTTTTACTATTTCTTTGATTCCCTCTCATCCTTGTAGGCATAAAGAAAACTCATTAACTTTCCAGATAGCTTTTAGCTTACATTCAGCTTGCCTTCAGTTCACTTTCAGTTTACTTTCAGTTTCAGGGTGGTCACAAGATTCAGTTTATCAATTTCCCTGATAATTTACTGACATTAAAATTATTTTTCCTGACAAAATTCTTTTTTTACATAAAAATATAAATGTTTACGGAAAATGAGTCAAATTTATGAATTTTAATAATTTCTAAAAATTACAATTATAACTCTTCCTGAATTCAATTATTTTCTACAATTTTCATCTTTCTACATAATTCTTCATCTCTGAATCAATTAATTTAAATAATTTTCCGAAAGTTCTTCTAGAATTCAATTATTTAAATACAAAAACTCAATTTTTCATAATAATTCTAACTCTCCATAGTTTTTTTTCTTAAGTTATTTTTAAATAATTTTTGAAAAATAATAGTTTTTCAATTTTGAAAAAATTACAAACAATTAAAATTTGGTAAAATCTTCTGAAAATAATTAAATTTTTGAAAAATATAATTAAAAATGATCAAATTTTTGAAGAATTTTAATTATAAACAGGACCATGATTTCTCAAAAATTGTAATAAGTCCAAAAAGTAAATTTTCATAAATTTTTATTTGCTTCGAAGATAATTGAATCATAAAAAATTATTATAAACCAATTCTAATAATTAATTTTTAAAAATATTTTAATGTAATTTTTCGAAAATAATTGAATTTCTTAAAAGAATTTTTGTATAATTTAAAAAAACTAATTAATTCTTTGATAAATTTTAATTCAAAATTTTGAACATGATTGTTTTCTCCAAAATGTTAAAAATAATTCTAAAATCTTATTATTTTTGTATGTATTTGAATTTTTGTTAATATGTCATTGAAAATACTGAAAATATTGAATTAAAAAAAAATTAGGAGCTATTTTTCATTTATAAATTTACCTTTAAAGATTTTTCATCAAAATTTTTGATATTTCAATTATTTTCAAAAATTTTAATAAAATAGTCAAATTTTTAAAGAATTTTAATTATAAATATGAACATAATTTTTTCTGAAATTTTAATGTAAATCTAAAATGGAAATTTAAAAAAATTTTAATTTACTTTGTTTGAAAATACATAATTGAATCTTACAAAATTATGCTAAAATAATTTTATGAATTAGTTTTTTAAAAATATTGTAATTTTTTGAAAATAATTGAATTTCTTAAAAGAATTTTTGTATAATTTAAGGGGATTTGAACCTTGATGACGTCACAGTTTGTGCAAAGCATTAGTTTTAAATCTGTGACGTCATCATGGTTCAAATGCCCTTAAAAAACTAATTATTTTTTTGGTGAATTTTAATTAAAAAAATTTTCAACATTATTGTTTTCTCCAAAATGTTATTATTTTTGTATGTATTTGAATTTTTCGAAATATGTAATTGAAGATACTGAAAATATTGAATTTTAAAAAATTAGAAACTAATTTTCATTAATTTTCATTTTTAAATTTACCTTTAAAGACTTTTCATCTAAATTTTTGATGTTTCAATTATTTTCAAAATTTGCAATTAAAATTCTTCAAAAATTGATTTTTAAAGAATTGGAAATAAATACTTGAAATAAATTAATTATTTTCAATTCAATTTTACAAAATTTCAACTGTTCAAAAAAAATTTTTATTATAGATATTTTTGAAAAATTTAATTTAATTATGTTAAAAAATGATTCAAAAACAATTTTTGAAAGATTTGTTTACAATTATTTTTCGCATTATAAAAATCAAAAAAAGTTGCACTTTTTTACTAAAAATTGTTGTAGGTATTTTGTTGCAATGTTTGAAAGAAAAGTAAAAAAAAGTCGCAATTTTTGAAAATAAGTCGATAAAAGTCTTTAATTTTCTTAATTTTAATGACAAAAATTTTGTTTCCTGACATTTCCCTGACTTTACTGGCAAAAAATTTGTTTCCTTGACTTCACTGACATGTGGCCACCCTAAGTTTACTTGCAGTTGATTTTCACACATTTTTTCTACAGATATCAAATTGAGACAAAAAGCAATGACAATGTTGCTTTGCAACACTTTTGATTCGTTTTTTGTCTCAATTTGATATCTACAGAAAAACTGTGCAGTTCATTTTCAGTTAACTTCCATCAAAATCTCTCTCAAAAACAAAATTTTAATCAGTAAAGCTAGAGTAATATATAAAAGTGAAAAATTCCCTTCCCTTCTCTTAAAAATTCTTCCCTCGACTATACAAAACTTTCAACTTGAAATTTATTATTCACAAAATAAATTCATTATCATTCGTGCGTAAAGTGAAATTTTTGGAAAATTTGCTACTGTTTACTCGCCTTAAAGTATAAAAGGGACTCTTTTCTTTTTTTATTTTCTTTAAATTTCACCCACGTACTTTATATAGCCTTAATGTTTTTGAGAAAGTACTAGCACTAAGTTAGGGGCTACTGGTGGGTCCAGTAAATCTTTTCCCTAGCTATTCCCCCCCACCTTATTCCCTCGTTACTCGCAGCTTCGCTTCTCTCCTTATTATATCGTCTTTCCACACCATAAAATCGGAAAAGAATTTCATCCCCAAGACAATAGAAACTAATAAATTTGATTACTGATTACATCGGCCAAGTCTAAAGAGAGGAGGAACTTAAATCCCATTTACACTTTTGCTTTTATTTTATTCTAATTCGTTAAAAATTGAGATGCACTCCAGCAAATTCAGTGTATGCGAAAATGAAAAAAAAATGTTTATAGCAAATGATTCATTATTAATTTTTGTTATTTCACTTTGTTAAGTGAAAACAATATTTTTCCAAAGAAAATAAAATTATATGTTGTGTGTAAAATTAAACATAATTGGGTAATTAAAATAAAATAAATATTTTTGTCAAATTTTTCAAATTTTGTTAACGATTGAAAAGTTCAAAAATTTTATATATTAAAATTATGTTAACTACAGTGAAACCTGTCGGAATGAAACTCGATTTTTCAAATTTTATTGCAATAAACAATTCTTAAAAAAAATTGTTTAATAACTTAATTTTGTAATATTTCTACAATTTTCTTGAACTAAGTAAAAATAATTCTTTTTGGACATTTTTAAATACAAAAAAATTTTTTAAATAGACTTGCATTCCGACAGGTTCGACTGTATAATTTTCTTTTTTTTCGAAAACCACAAAATTTGTCTCTAAAAGGAAAAAAATATTCCAAAACACCTGTAAAAATATATTTTTGAAAAATATTTTGGTTTTCGAAAACTAAAATACTCTCTAAATTTGAAGTAGTTAAAACTAACAAATTTGGTAGTAAAAAGTCCGTTCCTGATTCAAATAGTAATATTTTAGTAATAAATAATTACTAATAACCAAATTATACACTGAAAAAATGTATTTGCTTCAAATACTAAAATTATTGAATCAAATACAATTTAATTGACTTAAATAAAAATTAATTCTCCACAAAATTTTCGAACGTTCAAATAAACGAAATTTTTTTATTAAAATATTTTCATAAATTGCTGCTTGTAAAAATTGAAAATCAAAATTTAACATTAAAAAAACTTTGTAATTAATTTTTTTTAATAAATATGACGTTCAAAAAAACAAAATGTTATTCATTAAAAATATTTTCATAAATTACTGTTTGTAATACAAAAATGAAAACCAACATTTAACATTTAAAAACTTTGAAATTAATTTTTTTAATAAATAAATATGCGACGTTCAAATAAACAAAATGATTTCCATTAAAAATATTTTCATAAATTACCGTTTGTAATAAAAATTGAAAACCAAAATTTTATATTTATAAACTTTGTAATTAATTTCTTTTATACATGACGCAAAATTATTGTAATAAAATTTTAATCTGAAGAAGAAATAAACAAATTTTGTTCATTTAAACATTCTGAACTTTATAGAAAAAAATTATTTTTATAGAAAATAAGAATTATTCGATTCACATAAATATTTATTCGACAATAGACAAATAATTGGCTATTTGAATAAAATAAATTTTTTTCAGTGTAAGAATATTATTAAATTTATTAATATAGAAATATTAAATAATATATTATAAACTATTTTTACTTTTAAATAAAAAAAATTTATTCAAAAATTTTTAAAGGTAAAGAAAAACTCTACCCTATTCTTACCATATGCCAACAAAGAAGAAAATCTTTGTCTTACCTATCGAGTTTGTCAATTTCACTCTTAACAGCAAACGATAAATTACCGACTCTAACTTTTAATTCCTACTTTAACTACAATCGATAACAAATTTTTGATTTAATTTTGACGAAAATTAATTATTCTATTTTATTATTTACTTAATGTCGAATATTTAACAAAATTGAAATTAATTTATATTTTATTTATAAATAAATACTACTAGGTTTTGAATACTTAATCGAAAAAATAGAAAAATTATCGAAAATTACAGAAAAGTATTTAAATACTAAGTCAGATCTGAACTCTTTACTTTACTCAATAATATGTAAATTAAATTCACAAATCAATGTATAATTTAATCAAAATTTCATAAAATTAAATTCATAAAATAAAATTAATAATCAAATATTCAATATTAAAATATTTACTTTAAAAAGAAAGTTTAAATACTAGAGAATATGAAACTTTAAAACTTAATACTTGAAAATCGCTTGAAACAAATTTCATAGAGCTTTTTTTTATTAAAATATTTATTAAGTATTTATTTAATAAAAAAACAGTACGCGTAGGCATATGATTGGGTTAATTAATTTTCTTCACTTTAAAAGTAAAAATAGTTTCTTTTTTTGGTAAGTGTTTGAAATTCAAGCACTTTATTTTTGTGGTACAAGTAGAGAGAATTTTTAAACCTACGATGTCTCCATAGCTGCAGCCGTTTCCTCGGTGTATTTTCCTTTATCTTTTCCTAATGCTGCGAGACGTCCCTTACTTCTCCTGTCGATGATCTTTTTTCGATCCTTATCCATCTTCAGTTTAACAATGACAGTCTGTAAATAAAAAAAAAATTTGTTAAAAATAAACAATCAAACCTGATCCGCAATTTTAATTATAATTTAATTTTATGTTTAGAAAAATAAAGATCAGTGCCAATTTCAATTCAACGATTGAACCGGGAAAGACGAGTTTATCATGTACAAGAAAACCTTGTACACGAGGCCACAAGTCTAACCGTTTGTTCGAATCTCGGTGAATGGTTTGGATCATCATGTCAATTAAAAATATTAATTTTTAGAGTAAAACTATTTCTGATAATAAATATTTACTTGTAATAATATTATATGATTATTATTATTTTTCTTATTAATATTTTAATTAAAATTCAAATTTAACATTTTATTTATTCTATGAAATTGTATTTTTTCGGAATGCAAAGAAAAGTTTTGTGAAAAATTATTTTAAATTGATAAAACAAATATAAATTTTTTTATCTTTTCATATTGATATTTTTTTTTGAATGAATTTCTTCTATTTTCAATCAAAAACAATTTTTTCAATTATATTTATAAAAAAAACTTTAAATGAAAACTAAATAGTTTTCTTTTCTTTTCCTTAGAAAAAGTAATTCTCGACAAATAATAATTATATTAAAAAATTTTCTTTTCTCATAAAAAATATTCAGAAAAAATCCATTTTTCCATAATTTTAATAAATATTTCAAGAATTTTATTTTTTAGGCATTTAAATAGTTAATTTATAAAGAAACCATAAAAAGAATAAACCTAAGGAAATTAAAAAAAGATTTATAAGAAAATTTGAAGGTTAGGTACGAAATTTGATTCAATTTTTTAAAATTTGATTTTCCTATAACAAAAAACACTAAATTTACTATTTTTTACTTTCTTTTCTAAAAATTTTATAATTGTAAATTGCGTTACATACCTTTGAAGGATCAATGCCAACGTAAGCAGTTGCACCATTCGTCTTTTCCCTTTGAATCCTTTCAATATAAACAACGAATTTCTTTCTGTAGACTTGGATTACTTTTCCAACTTGTTGGCCTTTATAGTGACCACGGACAACCTAGACAGTAAAAGCATCATGTACTTTTTGGCGTACACTGTTAAAAAAATCGTCGTAATTCTACCATCACGTTTGACGCGCGGGAAAATAATTTCCCCCCACATTGAAAATAATTTCCCCATACTCAATTTTTGGAAAATTAAATACTAAATTTGGACAAAAATACTAAAATTATAATTCTCAGAAAAAAATGAAACTTATTCTCCACGTAGAATTAAACAGATTTTTCCAACAGTGTATAATTGAAAATTTGCTCTAGAATATTTGAGGTTATGTTACCTGTACTTCGTCATCTTTACGAATCGGCATCGAGCGTACATTATATTTTTGTCTTAATTCCTTTGACAAAGGTGAGGACATTAGCCTTCTTCTGATGTGAGAAGGTGCTGTGAAATGCCTTTTGCGATTTTTCCGCCTCGAGGACGTCACCATTGAATTAAACTTCATTGTTCTCTCCTGTGAATAAAATCTATCATTACAATCTTTTTACCAATAAACCCTTTTACAGTAGTAAAAATTCTTTAATTATAATATCCTTATATTAATTAAACAAATCTTTATTTTTCTATATTTTACACAGAAAATAAAGAAATATGTAAAAAAAAGTCGAAGACGGAAAAGTGTCAACAATATTCCATGTCACGTGTACATAAAACTTTCGTTTTCCAAAAAAATATTAACACAAATTGCTTTCTCTATTAAAGACATAACGTTATTATAAATTATTTACACATTTTGATTAATTTTAAAGTAGATTACAATGGATTTTTATTAAAAACTTACCGAAACTCACTCTGCTCGTACCACAGATAAAACCGGAAGAGACACCGAGGCAAAGTGCGACACTAGCGCCACCATCGTGCGCACGCATAAACAAGCGGGAAATTTGAATCGATAGAATTTATCATAATTACTCATTTACGAAAAATTTAATAAAAAAATGCATTAATTCATTTTTTGGAACAATGTTAATTAATAAATCAATATAAACGAAAAATACAATTTCTCCAATTGTTCAATTGCAATTTTTTTAAGTATTTCGAAATTATTACCTTTTATTACTAATTTATATGAATATTGACTTTTTAATATAATATTTTCTATAGTCGAGTGTAATAACAATTCAATAGAGAAATAGTACCTAATAAGAAATTAATAAATTATTTAAAATTTACCGCTAATGTGTCATTTAATGAGTAAAAAAGTGGTTAGAGGGCGTTGTTATTTTCTGGTTGTAACGAGCGACTATTATCTCGCTCGAATCGTGATTCGATATTAATCGAAATGCGATTAAAAGTCGCGGGAAAATATAATATTAATTTTATATTTTAAAAAATAATATCCTGTCCATAGATTGAGAAGAACTTTCTGCGTTCGATTTAGTAAATATGTTCCTAAAATATTGTATTCTTCAAATATCTCTCTATCAATAGCCGAAATATAACAAAAGATGAAATACATATGTTTCGCAGACACAGTGTCTTTGAAAATATCGCTACAAAAAATAGTAAGGTTTAAACACATTTCCAGCAATATGAGTTTGTGTATTGTCACTCTGAAGACAATATACCCTTAAAACTCAAACACAATTGTCAACCATAAACTAAGAGAGATAACCCCAAAGATGTCATAAAAAACTGTCTTTCAATTCTCAAGTAGACCCTCTTTGGAGGTAAAACCATAAAACACATCGGTTGACCAACGTACATTTTATCCTTTTTCTCAGGATAAAATCACGTACTGGAAAAACCCAGTTTTCAATACTTTTTAGAAATGTTAATTATTCCACTACTTTTATAAATAATTGTAATTTGCATATTAGATTATTTCTATCAATCTAACATCTAATCAATTATTATAATATAATTGATAATGAATTAAGACTTGTAAATAAACTACATTCAAGCTTTATAGTTAAACAATTAATTTGTTATAACTATCATGACCATTAACTATGTATAATTCTATATAATATTTACTATATTTGTAACACGTATGTGTCATGTACAGGTGTAAATATAATTATTATAAATATAAATATTATTATTAGAATGTATGCATGTGTATATATATATATTGAAATAATTATCATGTGATAATTATTGGAATCATAATGTTATGATGAATGTGTATGTATCAACATCGACAAGTATGACGTATGAGTCGGTATTAGTATTAGTGAAGTGCATAAATGTATCTACTATATAGTGGGGATACTACTATACTATACTATACTACTGTATAGTGGGGGATGCGCGTCATTTAGAACATGCGCATTTCCTCCAACATGGACTAACAGCGGAGAACAAGTCCGCTGGACTGTAACTACAGATGATTTTTAAGTTGACTATTGACTAGAAAGGTTGCTTCTAAGCTTCCTTAGTCATAACTTGTATTCTTGAACTTTTAGTAAATAAATATTTGGGTTTACTCTCAAGAAGACTGATTTCCTTCAATAATTAATTTTATTAATTATTGAATGACTTATTCTACTTGTGAGCTTTTTCCCTCCGTTTTAACGGAATATTCACGTTTATTATTTGAAATTTCCCGGTTCCTATCAAGGATTTAACCAAATTCTGAACTCAACGAATCACCGAGCAGTAATCGCGTTTGCGCGAGTAATTTACATTTGTGCTCGTAACATGGTGGGCAGGCTGGCTGGCGAAAAGCAGCAATTTTAGCGCGGGTGGGTGTTGTCGTTATATTTTTACGCGTTGAACATTAAATTCTTGTGCGATATTCTGTGAAAATCTGTGCAAAATGCCGCCGAAAAAGCGGGAGAAGGAATTGGAAGGACAAAAAGCTCCTCGTATGGATATGGTGCAAGCTGATCATGAGCTGTTTCTCCAAGCCTTCGAAAGTGAGTTTGTCTTTTTCTTTCATTTGTTTCTTATAAACTGCAAAAGTTTCCCTCCGATTTTAAGTAATTGATGAAAAAAAGACAATAATCCATTAGTTGCACATATTTTACACAAAGAATGCTAATTAATAGAGAATTTATTCCAACATAACCCCTATCAACTGTAAAAATTCAACGGCGTGGGGTCACTTACCTCCCTTCTTTCTTAAAATCCCGCCGTCACCTGTCATAATTATTATTCACTATTGTTTTCATAATCACACAAATTACGTGATATTCATGTTATTCATTAAATTGTTCAGTTAAAAATTAACTTGAGCAATAGAAAACATTTTTTATTTTTAATTACAAGTTATGATTTCAATTCGGAGATTGCTTTGTCATAGTGATCATAAAGGAAATAACATTTGTAATTTTTATTTTAGAATTCTATTTCTTTCGAATTTTGTTAATCTATCTTTATTATTTAATTAAAACAGTTTTTAAGAGAATTTTTCCCGTCGAAATTATTAGTTGACAGTGGTGATATTTTAACACAAATTGTTTAAAAACGAAATATTTTTTTTTTAGTGTTAAATTGTGAAATACATTTTTCAATGCTTGTGACATTAGATAAATTTAATTTCTTTCAATTATTTGAATATTAATCAATTTTTCGCTACAATTTTCTATTACGAATAAATGTAGTATTTTTTTCTTTATTGTTTTAAAAATGGGATCAGAGAGGTTTGACCTGCAAAAACGTAACAAGATTGGTTGCGCAGGCTTCTCATATCGTACGAGCTAAACCAAGTCATCATCTCCCATCTGAATCACAGAAGGATCGAACTTTTGGTCTCCTTCTGGCGACTATAAACCTTTCAAGTCGCATGTTATATTCGAGAGACTCGACAACTCCGATATCTCTTGGCGAATAGACAAACTATTTACCCCTTCCACTCCCTTTTCAAAAAAAAAAATTTTTTTTTACTCTAAAAAATTACTTTTTGATTTTTTTGATTATTTGTCAAAATTTATTCGTTTATTATAAAAATAAATTTATTTCTAAGTAGTAACTAATAATAAACCAATTTCTATAATTATTGTTAATAACCATATAATACATTAATAATAAATTAGTAATTTAATTAATTAAAAATAGATTAATAATTTAATTAATTAATCAAAATTAATAATAAATACACTGATAAAAAACCTTTTTTCAGAACCAACACAGATTTATCGGTTTTTGCGCACAAGGAATCAAATTTCTGTAAGTTTTTATTTACTTTTTATTATTATAAATAGTTGGCATGAAAATATTTTAGATTCAGAAATTTTTAATGTTAACCCTTTGTCATGATTATCAAATAAATCGGTTATTTTTATATAATTAATTTAATACACATTGTTACTTTTAACAATGAAAGATTTCTATGAAATCTCAAAAATGTCGAGCAAAAAGATTTTACAAAGTACTATTTTATTGCGGTACAAAAAATCTAAATTTTGTTTTTTAAAAACAAAATAATTGTTTTCATTTGTTTTTTGAACATTTTTATTAGAAAACTATTTTTTATCTCGTTTTCTATATTTTTTCCCTTATTTTAAAGGAAAAGCGAGTTTTATATCTAAATGCATAAAGTGAATTATTTTTCGTTTTTTAAATTTCAAGTGCTTGACATCTACTAAGCTTGATTATATGCTTTAATAGTAATTTATTATTTTTAAGGTACGTTATTCAATTTTCAATAAATTTTATTCATGAAAATAATTTTTATTACATTAGTATTAGAATAGAATTAGAATTAGAATTAGAATTAGAATTTGAAAAACCTAAATTTAAGAAATTAATTGGAGATACAAATTTTAAAATTATTTTATTTTTCAGCCCGTATTTCTTTATAGAAATCTTTCTTATATGAGACAGAGAATGTCTAGGACACATAAGTCCCGAAGAGGATTTCGAATCAACTCTATTTTAGACAAATTAATAATTAAAAATGAACAGCAGCAAAATCCAGGAATACGGGGGTTCATGACACTGACATTCTTAGGATTTTACGACAAAAAATGTGAGTATAAATATTCTTTCAATAAAAAAAAAACAATTTATTTTAATTAACAGAAAATATTTTGGAGAATTAATTAAATTTTGTTAGTAACTTATAATTATTTATTGAAAACAATGAATGATTACAGTGGAGATGCCCCAAGATCCAGTAAAAGTGGAAACGTTGCTTTTAAAAATTTGCCATAAAAAACGAAAAGACGTTAGTTCACCAATAACGCAAGTAGGTAGACACGAAAATTTTAACTTTGATTTTCAAATGGGATGAATTCTCAAGGTTTGAAACTTTTCTTAGGATTATGTTGGATCAAGGGAAGTGCCAATCAATCCTTCAGAGAATCAACCTCCACCAAAAGCACCTACTATTTCCATACCAAATGAATCTTTTAGTTCAAATAATGGTCATTTAGCAAAGACTTATATGCTTTTGCTCAGAGTCTACTGCACGTCAAATAATGGCTGCCTTATGCATAACTGTGATTTAGACGGTACGATTTTTATTATAATAATAATTAGAAATACAATATTTCAGAGCGTCGATTTAATTTTAAAATTCAGGAGAAAAATTATAATTTTTCACTTAGTATAACTTTTCCGACTTTTTTCGATTTATTTTCAAAAAATGCGAATTTCAATTTTTTTTCTAAACATTACAACAAAATAACCCTTTTTGGTTATAAAATACAATTTACATATTATTTTAATGATTGTGGTGTGAAAAATAATTATAATTGAAACTTTAGAAAAGTTTTTAAACAGATAAAATTTTGTAAATTTTTATTTAAAATAATTTTTTTTTAATATTTCATTCAAATTGAGAAAAAAAAGAATATTTAAAAAAATTTCAATTCCTAATTTTTAAAATAATTGAATCCTCAAAAATTTTAATAAAAAATCTTCAAATGAAAAATTAAAAAAAAAAATTAATGGAAATTCACTTAAAAAAATTGTATTAAAATATTTTTTAAGAAAAGTAATTTTACCAGAAATTTTTCATCACAATTTTTTAATATTCAATAAATTAATTTCTTCGATTTTTGGAAGACATAAAATTATTTTATTAAATAATTGTGGAACAATTTTCTAAATATTTTTAATATTCAATTATTTTTAATATTTTCAATTACATATTTTCGAAAATCTAATTATCTACAAAAAATAATCACTACATATTAAAATTTTTAAAAACATCTGAATTTTGTAAATTATTAAAATTTTTAAGAAACAATCATTTACAAAATTCTTCAAAAAATTTATTAGTTTTTTGAAATCATTAAACAATTTTTTTAAAAATTCAATTAGTTTAAAAAAAGTATATTCAGTATTTTTTAAAAACTATAATTCTTGAATTTTGTCTATCATAATTTTTTAAAATTCAATTATGTGCATAAAGAGTAAATTAAAATTTCAAAAAATCTGTTTTTTCAGATAATTCATTAAATTTTTCATAAACAGATGTATTTTCATATTTTTAAATTAAAATTATTCAAAAACTTGATTTTTTTTTTAATTTTCTAAATATTTTTTTTAAAAAATCAAATTACTTTCAACAAATTTGACTATATTTCAATTATTTAAAAATATTTCAATTATACTTTATTGGAAAATAATGAATAAAATTTAAATAAATAAAATTGCCACAATATTTTTAAAATACCAATTTTAAGAATGGTTTTAATTTAAAATTTGTTATTATACAGTTTTTTAAAAATTAATCGTTTTCAATATTTTTGGTTACATATTTTCAACAATTGACTTTAATAACTTTTAAATGCAATCATAAAGAGTTGGAGTTACAATTATTAAAAAAAATTGAACTTTTGTGTTTAAATAAAAATAAAATTAAAATTTTTAAATTAAGGTATTGAAAATTATAAAATTCTTGAAACGTAGTTATCAAAACATTTCAAAATAATTAGATTCTTTAGACGAATTTTATTAAAACTGCATTGAAAATAATTTAATTCTCGCAAAGAATTTTATTATTTATGAAAATAATCGAATTCATCCAAAAAATTTTGTTAAAATTTTGGAAAATAATTGAATTGTTTTGAAGAATTTATTTGAATTGTTTCAAAACAATTGAGTTTTTTTAAAATAATTTTTATTGAAAATTTTGACAGTAATTGAATTTTATGAAGAATTTTTTAAATAATCGTGTTTATAATGATTGTAATTGATAATTTCATTCAAATTATGAATAGAAAATTAAATCCTTTTGAAGAATTTTATTAATTTTCGTAAAAAAAATAAATTTTTTTATGAAGGATTTCTTTAAAATATTGTAGGTTTTTTAAAGAATTTTAATTGAAAATTTTTAAAAATAATTGAAATTTTACAAACATTTTTATAAAAACTTTTGAAAAGAATTGAATTTAAAAAAAAAATTTATTACACTTTTTAAAACTAACTGAACCCGATCAAGAAAATTAATTAAAATCCTATTAAAAATAATTGAATGTTTTGAGAAATTTTATCAAAATTTTAGGAAATATTTGATTTCTTTCAAAAAAATTGTATTAAAAATTTTTTAAAATAATTGTATTGTTTCGTAAAATTTTATTAAAATTATTTTGAAAATAACTTAAGTTTACAAAAACATAGAAATAAATTTATTATCGGAATGAGGGAAAAAGTTTCAAATTTTTCTCGAAATCAGAAAACTAGAAAATGAAATATTGGTAACAACTCTGAAGAAGATAAACTACTTTTTCGATTTTTTTCGTAAATTGAATCGACTAAACAGACTTTTTTTGCCCCTTAAAGTCGATCCAAGGCCTTTCAAATGTAAAGATTATAAATGAATATTTAAATTTCTAGAGCCAGCTCAAAAGCGTCGTAAAACCGCAACCGGAGCAATTAAAACCGGAGGCGAGGAAATTAAATTGTATGGTTCGGAACTTGTAGTATACGACAAACACAATCGTTGCCTCCTGACAGATGGCGATTATGAACTGGGTTTACAAGAAGTGCAAGCAAATGTCAGATCCAGTCCTAAGAAACATAGTTCTTGGGAAACAATTCCCGATATTAAAGACTGTAGTCCTTTTGACGTCTTTACCAGAGGACCGACACTTAAATTTAGATTAAGTTGGACCATGGAACCGAGCAATGGTTTCGTTGATAGACCTGTTGCAGTAAATCCTCTTCCTAACGGAGACAACAAGGAAAATCGACCAGGCAACAGTGAGTTTTTTCTCTCTAATTTAATTAATTGTAAATAATTTATTACCTACTTTTCTAATTATCCCTTTCTTTCATTTCAGATTGCCCAACGAATCATAATAATAATTTTAGTAGTAGTAATAACAATAACAATTTAGCACTGCCAGCACCTAGTCCACTTACACCTGCAAAAATACCTGTGACAAATGAAAAAGTCGATGCTTCCAATATATCACTACAAATTGTTTATCAATTTTTGTACAATAATAACAGTCGCCAACAAACCGAAGCTTGCGAAGATCTTCATTGTCCTTGGTGCTCTTTAGATTGTGGAAAATTATACTCACTTCTAAAACACTTAAAACTGTGTCATTCAAGATTTACTTTCACATATGTGGTACATATTTTAAATATTGTTTGAAATATACAAATTTGAAATTTATTGAATTCAAATTTAATAAATTTTGGAATTTATTGAATACGAAACTGATTAAATTTCAAAACCTTGTCAATTTAAAAATTTTACTATTCGTTCTTTTCTCAATTTTTAGCCAATTCCACAAGGAGCACGAATAGATGTAGCAATAAATGAATGTTACGATGGATCGTATGCGGGAAGTCCTCATGAATTAATTTCTCAACCCTCTGGAGTGGCTTTCTCAAGAACTGGACCAACTAGGCGTACCAGTGTGACAAATATTCTAGTGTGTCGACCAAAACGAACAAAACCGAGTCTTTCTGAATTTTTAGAATTAGATGAGAATGAATTTGAAAGCCAACGGTCTTACATCACAGGACACAATAGGTAAAATTTTTATATTTTCTAATTGTAATATCTGACTGATTCTCCTAAAAAGAACCCGTTTTTTGTTTGAAAAACTAAAAAATAACATTCTTTGAATTTTCTGAATATTCTTTTTTGCAGATATAAGTTCTAAGATGTTTAAACGAATTTTTAAGTTTATTGTGCTCGTTTTTTGAAAATTTAGAAATATTTCAATGTAAATATATAATATTTTTGGATTACATTTGGAAATATTTAACATAAAGATTACAAATTATGTTTAAACCGTTTAAAAATACAAGTCAGTTTTTTTGGTATGAAATGCAAACTATCTCGATTTTTATAATGCAAAAAAAAAAATAGTCAAATATTTCAAAATTGATTTTTGAATAATTTTTCCAAGCAAATTAAACTTTCAAAATATATAATTAAAAAGTTTTTAAATAATTAAAATTCTGTAAAATTTTATTGATAATAATTGATTTTTATAATTACTTCCTCACAATTTTCAAAAATATTAATTACAAATTTTAAAAATAAGTGAATTCTTAAAAATTTTAATGAAAAATAAAAATAAAAATTGTGTTTAAAAAGTATACAGAGAAATTTTTTTATAAAATGTAATTGTTACAATTTTTTTAGTATATTTTTTTTTAAATTCAATTATTTTCAGTATTTTCAATTACATATTTTAAAAATTAAAAAAAAACAATTATTTAAAAAATTTATTTTTAAACAATTTTTTATTAATTATTATTAAAATGTTTGAGAAAACAATTTAATTCGCAATTTTTTAAAATTAAATTATTATCTAATTGAATTATAACATTTTTTATTAGGTACAGTTTTTTAATAATCAATAATTTACTTTTATAATTCTTAAAAGAATGATTAAAAACAATTTAAATTTGGTAGAATTAATTAATTGAATTCTGAAAAAACTTTCTTAAACTTATTTAAAATAATTGATAGTGTAAAGAAAATTTTTTGTTAAAATTCTTGAAAATAATTGAATTTTGAAAAACTTGTAGTATCAGTTTTTAGAAATAATTTAATTTCGTGAGGTTTGAAAAAAACTTTTTTTAAAAAAACGCTGTTATTTTCAAAATTTGTAATTAAAATTCTTTAAACAATTGATTACTTTTATAAAGTATAAAAAAAATTCATTACAGAAATTTAATTATTTTTTAAAAATAATTATTACAATATTTTTAAGAAACTAATTCTTAGAACTTTATATAATAATTTTTAAAAATTAAATTATTATCGAAAAAAGAAAATGACAATTTTTAAAAAATCTACTTTATTAGAATTGTAATTAAAAGTTTTGGAAGAATCGTACCTAAATTTTCATATTTTTGTAGTTGAAATTATTCAGACACTTCATTATTTTTTAATAGTTTTCAAAAAGTTTTTTTTTTAAATTCAATCATTGTCAAAAAATTTTACTAAATTAAAAAAATATTTTTTTTTATTAAAATTTTAAGAAAATGTTCTTTATTAGACTAATCAATAAAATATTTGAGAAAATCATGTATTTAATATTTGAAATTGAAAATTTTTAAAAACTATTATTTTTTAACATTTTTTCAAAAATTCTTTCAAAAAATGCAATTATTATTAAAAAATTGTATTAAATTTTTTGTATTAATTTTTTTTAATTTATTAAATTTTTTGTATCTATATTTCTTTTGATTTAATTTATTCGGAAATTTTTAAGTCACAATATAATGTAGAATTAAAGAATTCTATTATTATCATTCAAAAATTATTTTAAAATATTTCGAAAAGACTAAATTTAAGATTTTTTTTCATTATAATTTTTCAAATTTAAATTAAATTTAATACCTTCTGTTAAATATTTTCAATAATTCACTTTTATAACTTTAAAAACAAATCAAAGAGTTTCAGTTTCAATTATTTAATAAAAATTGAACTCTCGCGTTTAAATAAATGAATTCTTGAAAAACTTTTGGAAAATTATTAAAATTTATTGAAGAAGAAGATTTAGATAAGTTTAGTTAAAAATTCTTGAAAATAATTGAATTTCGGAAAGTTTGCAGTTTTAATTTTTAGAAATAATATAATGTTTTAAATTGAAATTTTTATTTCCTGTGGTAAATGATTAACAAGTAGTTAAATATTTTTATTTAATTTATAAATATATAATTTATTTATTAATTTATAACAAAATTATTGATTTTTGAATAATTGAATTTGGAGATTAGTGGAGGATCATTAAATAACAAAATGAATTTTTTGTATTAATATTAAATAAAGTAAACGACTTTTTCGACTTTTTTTCAATCTATAATCGACTAAAGAAATTTTTTAACGCCTTAAAGTCGATTCGAAGTCTGAAAATATAAATAGGCTTCGAAGATAAATTTAATTGCATAAAAGTATATTTTCAAAATGCGACATAGTTTTTACTAAAATTGGAAAATAAAATTACATATTATTTTATTAAAAGAAACATTTACTATAAACTTTGTAAAAAAAATATGTAAAGGCAGATGAATTTTAGTAGATCAAGAATGAATTTTTCCAAAAATATCAAACTCAAAGAAATTTCAATGAAAAATTAATAAAATAATCAAACTCAAGTTTGGAGGTCCCTTTCTGGAGAATCAGTTTCTAGATTTCTAAATTTATTATTGTACCTGAAATTTAAAATTGAATTCTATTTTTCAGGCTCTATCATCACACTGTTACTTGTTTACCAATATATCCAAAGGAAATGGACATTGATTCAGAGGGTGAAAACGATCCAAAGTGGCTGCAAACAAAAACAATGATGATGATTGACGAATTTACCGATGTAAATGAAGGTGAGAAGGAATTAATGAAAATGTGGAATTTGCATGTTATGAAACATGGCTACGTTGGCGACTGTCAAATTCCCCTCGCCTGTCAAATGTTCCTTGAAACAAAAGGAAAAGAACTTTTAATGAAAAATCTCTATCGTAATTTTGTCCTTCACATGTGTAGTCTCTTTGATTTTGGACTAATAAGTCCAGTTGTTCTTTATCAAGTGATACAAAAGTTGCAAGAAATGATGAAGGAAGGCGGCGAGAATGGTGATGTTCGAAAAATTTTACAAAACTCACACGAGGCACAAGTTGAACGTTGGGTTACCACCGGTGTCTATGCACCCACTGACAATATCAAAACAAATAGCTCGTGCGCGAAAATTAATTTCAATAATGACAATTCCCATTCAAATACCAGGCGAAAGACAACACATCCCCTTGGTTCGCCTCCAAATTCACAAGCCGGTAAATCTTCAGTTCACAATAATGCAACAAAACACGCCAGTATGATGGGCGCATCATCGAACAAATCTCTCAATCAATTGAATAGTACTATTCAAAATACAATAAACAAAAACGGAAATTCATTTTCCAATCATCAGAATGGCGTTAGTAAAACAGTATCATCAAATTCCAAAGTTTCCGCATCAGGAACAAGTAATTCCGTTCAAAATGAAAACGCACAGAAACAATCAACGGAACCACCAACTAGACGTAAGAGTACAAATTCTCTTCAATCCGATGGTTCTGCGCCAATACGCAGAAAATCAATGGCCAATGATACCAATGAGTATCACAGACGAAAGTTAATTCTGGATGCAATTCAGTCAGGTTAAAAAGAAATTAAATAAAATTAAATTGATTGATTGAAACGACAAAGTCGTTCATTTTTTTTCTATTGGACCACGCACGTAAAAACGCGCGTATTGTACGTTTTTGTACTATTTGTCGCGTAAATTAAGATAATTGCGATTTTTTTAGTAATTATTACGCTAATCTGAATTTAGTATACGAGGTGTGTCGCACACCCTTATTGCAGTGCAGTTTTCTAATTTGAATTTGTACACTACGCTTTTTTTTTGTAATGAGAATTATATCATAAATAACAGTTATTTAAAAAAAGAAAAAAAATGACAAAAAAAAAAAATTCGAGAGTGGGTTCTAACATATTGTATTCAGAACCTTTGGTAATAATATATCTAAAAAAAAAAAAATATTTTCAAACGGTTCAAATAAAATATGATTGTTAATTAAAAAAAAACTTACTTTATCAATTTTTAAGTATTGAAAATACTTATTAATTTTTATTTTTATCTAATCGTTTTAACGTATTTTTTTATTATGTAAGAAATTCGATTTATTTACTATTATTTTATTTTGAAGCATGTAAATTCAGTGCAAACTCTCGGTGCATTGATATTTACATTTTTTATAAAATCCAATATAATTTTCTGTTCTTGTATTTGAACTCTTATTGGTACTTTGAATTTAATTATTTAAGTCTAGTCAAGAATATTTTTCTTACTATACAAAGCACGTTTGCAGTGCTTTTTAAACAAAAAATAATGTATGCGCTTTTAAGAGAGTGAAATTTATTAATTTACGATTTTTCTGATTGAGGAAAATTGAAAAATACAGATTAAATAATGCATGAATTTTAAATTGAAACAATACTGTCTTTTTATTTCGTTTCATTCTAAATCATAGAGAAATTTTGAAAATTGAAAATTTTTCTTTTATTTTTTTAAATTTGTTTTGTTTTAATCCTTTTATGGAATATAAATAAATGTATTAATATTGTATCATGTAAAATAGAATAGATGATCGTCTCGTTTGTATAAATAATTTTCTCAAAAGGAAAATCAATTTTTCGATAAAAAAAAAAATATGAATAATAAACAATTAAGCAGCGATATAAGAAATTTTTATTATGAATTTAGATTAAAGGAAAAGTGCCTTCGTGAATTAAAATTAATTTAGCTTCACATGTTTAACTCGTTTTCGAAGCGATGCTTATTGTCGACTGTCTTTCTCACTTAAAAGTAGAGGCGATCTTGTGAAATCTACCTATTTATGATATTATATTGTAATCAATACTATCAATGTACATGAAACGTTTCAGACCTCGGATAGTACGACTATTCGGTCTTTTTTCGACTATTTTCCCAAAAAAAAGTGACTTTTTCGACTTATTTTCAAAAAATGCGACAAATTTCGACTTTTTTTCGAGTATTGCAACAAAATACCAGTTTTTTTTGTATAAAAATGCAAACTACTTCGATTTTTACATTGTGAAAAATAACCATAGCCAAATATTTCAATATTTATTTTTTAATAGTTTTTTTAAAATAATTAATCTTTAGAAATATATAATTAAAGAGTTTTTAAATAATTCGAACTTTGTAATAATTTTATTAAAAAAATAATTGATTTTATTTTAAGTATTTTAATAAGATTCTTGAAAATCAAATTTTTAAGAATTTTAAATCTAAATAATTTTTAGACATTTTAATAAAAAATCAACATGAAAATTGAAATTCAAAAAAATTGTATTCAGAAACTTTTTCTTGTAATAAGTAATTCTCAGAATTTTTTTACTATAATTTTTCTAAAATTCAATTATTTTCTACATTTCCAATTAAATATTTTGAAAATTCAAATATATATACAAAAAAAAAATTAAAATTAATAAAAAAATTTTGTGAAAATAATTGTTTTTAAAAATTTTAATCAAAATTCTTCAAAAAATTGTTTAATTTTCTAAATTATACAAATTTTTTTTTTTAAATTAAAATATTTTTGAATAATTATTACAATACTTTTAAAAACCTAACTTTAAGACTTTTTTCTATTATAATTTTTTATAATTTAATTATTTTCAAAAATTTTAATTTACGTTAATAACTTTAAAAGGAAATTATAAAGAGTTGCAGTTACAATTATTATCAAAAATTGAACTTTTTTATACTCAAATTATTTAGAAAAATTATAAATTTTCATATTTGCCATTGAAATTTTTGGAACACTTGCTTATTTTTTAATATTTTCCAAAGAATTCATTTAAAAAATTGCACTAAATTTCTTTTAATTTCAGTTATTTTGAAATTTTTCTATTATAATTTAAAAATTCTATTATTCAAAAAGTATTTTAAAAAATTTTTTAAAGAAAACTAAATTTGAGACTTTTTTTTACATATAAATTTTTAAAATTTAATTATTTTCAATATTTTCTCTTAAATCTTTTCAAAAATTCATCTGAAAACCTTAAAAAAGAAATCATAAAGAGTTGCAATTACAATTATTATTAAAAAATTGAATTTTTGTGTTTAAATAATTGATTTCTCGAAAAAATTTTGGAAAAATTTTTTTTATAAAAAAAAATTAATTTGGAGAAAAAGTTTAGTTTTAAAATTATTAAAATAATTGGATTTTCAAAGATTTGCAATTTTAATTTTTAGAAATAATGAAATTTCGCAGAAATGTTTGAAATTGAGATTTTAAAAAATTTAATTCCTGTGTTAAAATAAATAACAAGTAGATATTTAAATATTTTTATTCAAAAAAATTATTAATTTTTGAATAATTGAATTTAGTCGATCCTCCATTGTCTCTCTTTGTCTTCTCTTGTTTATTAAAAAATAGTTACCATCGATTCAATATTTTTAAATTTGCATCAAGCTGTAATAAAAATTATTGTTTGAATTTGTTTTCAATGAAGAGAAAACAAAGAATTTTTTTTAAATTTAAGATGTTCTGCGATATTTGAAGAACTCTTCTTGCGACCTTGTTTTATTGTCCATTATCATTAATTAACGAAAAATTCATTTTGAATGATGTAAATAGTAAAATAACTCAATAAAGCTTGTGGACATAAAATTTACTATTAAAACAATTTGTTCTTTAAGAATAAAAAATTTTTTCTTCAAACTATTAGTTACACAAAAAATATTTTTAAATATTCAACAAAAATAAGTGAAGAACAAACATTTTAGTTCAGACGTTAACTTCAATTTACTTAAAATTTAGGCCCAAAAATTTTGTAAATCACATTTCAATGTTGACATAACAAAGTATTAATTTTGTATTCTCCATTTTTCAAATTTCTCAACAATGAAAATTGATTATTCAAAGTGACGATTCATTCCGTAAAAAAAGATTTTGAGGATATTTGAAAAATCTTTCAAAAGAATTTTTTTAGCAAATTTAAAATTAAAATTTACTGAGAAAATTATGTCTACAGCGACAATATACTAACTAGATATTATATGTACAAACTAATTAATAATATAATGATTGAATAAAATTTCTGAATATTAAACGAAAAATTACTTGAAACCGAAAATGAACGAAAATCAAAAAATTACTTTTCACAATGTACCGAGTGACACGTTTCTTCAACAACAACTTTGTCAGCACATTATTCTCAAATCACTTCCTCCCCTCGAAACCAAAGATTCTCTAGAAGACATAAAAATACTCAAACAATTAAAAAATCCCTCGAAAAAGCGTCCAAGAAAAAATGTTTTGTGCTCCTTCATCAAAGCCACGACATTCGAAACTAGACCGAGACGCAAATTCTATCAGCAAAAATCAAAAGGAGCTCAAGATTCACAACGAAAATCAAACCCCGAATTTATTCATAAAATGCGTAGTCGTAAACATTTCGATATTCATAGAATTGGAAAAAAAATCATAAATCATTTCAAGAAGGAAATTTCCGAACCCGGACCATCTCAGATTAAAAAAGAAAATCAGAATCGAAAAAATAAATACGATCCAAATAAGGAAACTGAGAAAAATATTATACACTCTTTGAAAAAATTAAACCTAAATGAAATTAAATCGACAAGTCAATACGAATTTCCAATTCCGAAAAAATCGGAAATTTTATCAAAATCTGACAATTCATTAAGTCATTATGCAAATAGCAGTGTCGATACAGAATTAATGGAGAATTTAAATGAGATTCAAAATTTATTTACTCAAAAGCAATTAGACTTTAGTTCGGGCGACGTTAAACATTTAAATTTACAATCAGAGAATGCTTGTTCATCGAAAAATTGTACTGAAATTTTATCGTCTAAGAAAAAAGCAGTACAATGGAATCGAGAAGTAGACGTTGTTTATTTTGCAGGCGACACTTATGGAGGTGAGTTTATTATTAATTAAAAAATTAACTAATTAATTTAATCCATTCTTACAAATTTACAAAAAGTTATATTTATTATTACTAACGAAATGAAATTTATTTTTCTCTTTAAAGGAAAAATCGTAAAACGCGAAAGAGAACCATTGAGAGAGGAAGCTGATCAACAAGCGAGGCATAAAAAATTCATCGACTTGATTTTGGAAAAAAATCTCTTGTCCCTTACAAAAGGCTTTCACTTTCCTTATTCTTGATCATTTATTCCGAATAAAATCCACGAAAAGTATTTGCAAAAATAAAAATATTTATTTTCTTGGTCATATGGAGTTTTTACAAATGTCTTATTGACAATATGGATTTTATAATTTTCTTTAATTATGGAAAATGAATATAAAAATTATTTTTTTTTTCTTCTAAATTCGTCTTTGTTTTTTTTTTTTTTTCTTTCAGTTGAGTTAATTTAAAAATAAATTTGTTAAGGAATTTATTAGTTTTTTCAAAGAGAATGAAATTCTCGTTTTGGAATAAAAGAAACAAAATTAAAACAGAAATTTCTAATAAGTAATTGATGTAAATAAGTAAATATTAAATTATTAATAAATTTGTTTTAAAAAAAATTAGTTCCTTATTTTAAAAAACGTTGAATTATTGGATTGAGAAAAAATTTGTAAACAGAAAAAATAGAATATTTCCAATATTAAAAAAAAGAGTTAGTAGTACGAATGATAAAAATATTGTTTTCTAAGAAACGGACTCAAGAGGACTTTTTAATCTTCATCAAAATCATTTGCTTCAATCTGTCATACCGGAAATATTGAGGAAAATCTAATTTAATTTCTTCAATGTTCCATTTGTAATTCTTCTTTGTAATAATTCTTTGAAATTCCTCATACATTGGAGCAACAGAATCTAAATCAGCTAATGTGAAAACGAAACGCTTTTCCAATGCGACATAAGCGACAGACGTTGAATTTGCATTAAAAAGTTTCTCTAAAGTATTTACAAAACCCTCTGTTATAGTATCGTCGTATATCACTGAAATTTAAAATTTAATTTTAACTTTTACTTATAAAGTAAATTGTATAGAATATTATTAATTTAAAGATATAAAATGTATAAATTACTGATCTTATTTTTCTCAGCATTTATACTTACCATCAGCGGCTAGAATTATTTCAACTGTCTTTGAATCTTCACAAAGTTGTTGAGACCAATTAAGATCTAAAAAATTCATTTCCTTAATATCTACTTTACTCCTGACGTATTTCTTATTATTTTTGAAATTCTTCGCTATGAGTTTCAGAATTTCTCCCTCGTTAATATCTGCAAACAAAATTTATATAAATATAATTTTTCATGATTAAAAAATAAAAAGTTTTGAACTTTCAAATGAAGGAAATATTTTTTATTGAATATATTTTGATAAATTGCCGATTGTAATAAAAATTGGAAATTTGTATAAATTTTACAATTAGGAACTCCATAATTTTCTTTTTTATACTTGACGCAAAATTACTGTAATAAAAATTGAATTTCAAGAAGAAAAAATTTATTTCGTTCATTTGAACGTTCAAAACTTTTTTTTCGGATTTTTAATTTTTGTAAAAATTTTAGTTACCTGTACATATTATTTTCTTGGCTATAATACTGGCAATAATACTCGTGAAACCAACTCCGGAACCTAATTCCATTATTATTTTATTTTCGAATTGATTCGAATTCGATAGAATGTAATCAGCTAGTAGAAAAGCTCCTCTCCAGAGTTGTAAACCAACTAAATGTAAATCAGTGGAAATGTGATGCTCTGAAAAATATTTAAATTAAAAAACATTATTTTATCGGAGTTTTTGAACTTGGAAATTTTTTTTGCAAGTGAACAGTGATTTATAAATTATTATTATTATTATTCTTATTTATTGACAAATAAAAAAACTTTTATTATTTATAATATAAAATCCAAACTGTTTGAAATTTTTATCAAATTGTACATTTTTCAGAATAAATTATAAAATTTACTCTAAAAATAATGTTAGATTGAAAGTTAAAAAAATTTACTCATTAAATACATAATTAATTACAATCCTTTACTATTTACTATTTTTTAAAATTTTAATAAAATTCTTCAAAAGAATTCAATTATTTTCATAAATAGTAACATTCTTCAGAAGAATGAAATTATTTTTATAAATAATAAAATTCTTCGCAAGAATGAAATTATTTTTGTAAATACAAATAAAATTCTTCTTTGGAATTTAATTACTTTCAATACAATTTAAATAAAATTTCTCGAAAAGATTTAATTATTTTTAAAAATTATAATAAAATTTTTCCATTTATTATCAAAAGTTTTGATAAAATGTTTTATAAAAATTCAATTATTCTCATAAATAATAAATTTCTTCGCATGAAATGCAATTATTTTCAGTTCAATTTATTTTTATAAAATATTTCCAAAGAATTGAGTTATTTTCAAAAATTAATATAATTAATTGCCATTCAATTATAATTATTAAAACAATTACATAATTTTAAAAAAGTTTAAATAAATTCTTCAAAACAATTCAATTATTTTCAATACAGTTTTAAAAAAATTACTCAAAAAAATTTGAATTATTTTCAAAAATTTGGATAAAATTCATTGAAGGAATTCAATTATTATCAAATTTTTTGATGAACTTTCTTGCAAAAATTCAATGATTTTCAATATTAATTTTTAAATTGAAAACATTTAAAAATAAAAAATTTTAAAAGAGTAAGGAAACAATAATTATTTTAAAGAATTAAATTTTCTATCAATTTTCTTTTTCTATCAAATTCTTAAAAAATTCAATTATTTTCAAATTTTTCAATTAAAGTTATTAAAGAAATTACATTATTTTCAAAAAATTGAAAGAAATTCTTCAAAACAATTCAATTATTTTAAAAAATTTGAATAAAATTCTTCGAAGGAATTCAATTATTTTTAGTACAATTTATTTTTTTAAATTATTTCCAAAGAATTGAGTTATTTTCAAAAATTATAATTATTAAAAACATTACATAATTTTCAAAAAATTCAAATAAATTCTTCAAAACAAAATTCAATTATTTTCAATACAATTTTAAAAAAATTCAATTACAATTTTCAAAAATTTGAATAAAATTCTTCGATAGAATTATTCAATTATCTATTATCAAATATTTTGATAAAATTTCTTACAGAAATTAAATGATTTTCAATATTAATTTTTAAATTCAAAACATTTAAAAAGAAAAATTATTAAAATAGTTAGGAAACTATTTTACAAGAATTTAATTTTCTATCAAATTCTTCAAAAAATTCAATTAATTTTAAATTTTTCAATTAAAATGATTAAAGAAATTCTTCGAAACAATTCAATTATTTTTAATATAGTTTTAATAAAATTTCTCAAAAGAATTCAATAATTTTCGAAAAATAGGCTAAAATTCATCGAAGAATTAAATTTTTTGATAAAATCTCTTACAGAAATTAAATGATTTTCAATATTAATTTTTAAATGTTAAACATTTAAAAAGAAAAATTATTTACCAAAAAAAGGAGGAAACAAAAAAGCAAACAACTATTTTCAAATTGCGAACAGATTACCAGAATATAACGATTATTAATATAGATTTTTATATTAATTTTATTATTCTTTTTAATTTCAAAAATTCATACCAATTAACAACGTTCCTTTTTGTACTCGATCAACTATTAAATCTCCATCTTCATCGTATTCAACTTTCTCATTTTTGTCTTTTAGTAAAAATGATGGATATCGAAAATTAATGTTTGTAATTCTACCTAAAAAAAAGAAAATATTATTAGTAAATTATTAAAAACGTATACAAATTAAATTACAATAAAAATAAAAAAATTAAACATTATTTTACCATAATAATTAATAATAGAAGTCTACTCATACTCACTATTGTTTTCAAACTCCCCTTCAGATCCATTTTCTTCATAAATTTCTGATGTTACTTTAAAAGATGCCATCTGCAAAAAAAAATATTTTATTACTAAATTTATTAGGCTTAGAATTTATTTTTGATTGATAAAAACATCCGCGTGTTTAACATATTTTTTCAGCTTTCGAAAAAAAATTTCTTTCCTTTAAATTTAATTTTCCTTATTATTTCAAAAAATAAAAACGAATTTCATGAAAATACGTCTTCTAAATTTTATTCTTTCATCAATTTTGTAATTTTTAGTTAAATTTACCCTTATTTTTTATTTCTTTACTTTTTTAATATTTATCAATCAGATTTATTTGAACAGTTGTTATTCAAATTCTTTAAGTTTTTAATTTTTTAATCTATTAAAAGTTTTATTAATTTTTTTTTTTTTTATTTGAAAAAGTGTCTATTTTAAACAGTAAAAAAATTATTTACTCTCTTTGGAAGTGGTGGAAATAAAATATTCTTCATATTTAGAAAAATATTTTTCCATATTTTATTCTTTTTTTATTCTCTATTTTTTTCTCCTATATTTTTATTCTATTTATCATTTAAAAATATATGTATTTTAAACAGAAAAAAAATGTTTTACTTTCTTTGGAATAAAATAAGGGGAGGAGGGAAGTAAATATTCCCCCCTCTCTTTTTATTTTTTTTTCCTTCTTATATTTTTATTTTATTTATCATTTAAAAAAATATCTATTTTAAAAAGTAGAAAAAAATTCTTTACTTTTCTTTGGAAGAAGGAGAATTACTTTTCTTAAAAAACAATAAAAATTGAACAATAAATAATGATTAAAATAACCAACATATTCCCGATATGTAAAAAATTGATTATCAAATCAATAATTAAAAAAAGAAATTTGCCAAAAAAAAAAAAACAATTAGAAAGTAATTAAAAATTTCGGATCATATAATAATATGCCATATGCGCCCGAATAGATAAAACATTTGCAAACATTATTCATTAGAATTTCAGAGAAGTTTTTTGTGATGAGTTAAAAATACTCTTGTATAATCATTTAAGTATTTGAGAAATAAAATTCAGATAACATTCGTCTCATATTCTTATCGTATTATTAATATTAAAACAACAATTTATTGTAAATTTTTTTGCAAATTAATTTTTGTAAATTAAAATTTGTCAAAAACATATTGTATAAACTTTATACGAGATGTCCAAATTTTCTGTCAAAATTGTCTGTCTCACATATGAATAAACATTATATTTGTTTATTAAAGTATGTGTATTATTGGAGAATTACGTATTGTGACAATAATTTATCGTCTTATGTAATTATTATTCGTTTGTTATTTTTATTATCGTTTAAATTGAGAATTTTAAATTTACAATAATTATAATATTAATTTTTATTTTAATATTTTTTTGTAAATAAATAAATATCTAATCTCTATATTTAAAAATGTGTTAAAATACTTATTTTTTTTCAAACTCAATACAATTTCTTTAGTTAATCTGGTATTCGTAAAAGTGTTGTGATAAAAACAACCTTATCAATTGTATAATTTTAACTAAGTTTATTATCTAAAAATGAAGTCAATTGCACTTTTTTCGAACGTTTTTTGTCGCAAAAATAAATTCCAGTTGTGGGGTAAATTTCATTAATTTACAATAAAAATTGCTTTTTTCATAATTCAAAAATTTTTCACTTGTTTCAAATTTATTTACAATGGGGAAAAAATTTATTTCATTTCATTCAAATAACCTGATTACTTGTCTATTACCAAATAAATATTATTTATTTGTATTAAATAATTTTTTTTTATTTATTTAACTTATTTTTTATTTTTTCAATTTATTTTATTTTATTAATTTTTTTTTGTTTTTTATTTTATTTTTACTTCGTTTATTTTTTTAAATAATATTATTTATTTCTGAGTCAATTAAGTAGTATTTGCTTCAAATACTAAAATTTATTGGTTCAAATAATTTGTTTTTAAAAAAATTTGATTTAAAAAAAATTATTTAGGCCAACAAAATATTGACTTGATTTAGATAAAAATTATTTGAGTCGAGAAAATATTTACTTGATTTAAATAAACATTATTTGAGTCAAGTAAATATTTACTTGATAATAGAGTATTTATCAGTTATTTGAATTATATTTTCGTTTTCAGTGTAAAATTTCCGCAGCGAGACATATATATATATTTATTATTTTAATAATAAAAATAGATATTTATATTACAAATATATATAGATATATTTATTAAATTGTTAATGACACCAAATGACACTTGACAAATATAACTTGTTATAATTATAATTTATAAGATTTATAATAAAAATAATAACACTGACAACTCAACTATATATATACCTTCTATTAATAACGAAATAACTTTAAGAACGATAATCAATAACTCTTTTATTCCTCTAATTAATAAAAAATAATCTCTCACAAAATAGACACTATAAATAATTTATTTTACTATTTATCCAATAATTTATTTCTAATCATTTTTTTTTAATTTCATTAATTACTTTTAAACGCTTCAACGACTACTGTCACTTTTTAAGGGCACGCAGTCACTACTGTTTACAAAACTAGATTCTAATATTTATTTTGGGATTTTCTGAAAGGACAGAAGCAATTACATAATGCATCATTATATTTTAATGTTATATCTATAGATATACATATATATAATGTTTGCAGTTCCGCAATGTGAATTATCTTTCGATCGCATATATATTTTTGGCAAATAATATCTTGCGCGAATAGGTATCTTGAATATATTTACAAAAAAAAAATTGATAAAGACGAAAAAAAAATAATTCATTCTATTTTTATGATAAGAAATTGGTAGTACAAAATTTTATGGTCTGTAAAAAAAAAATTTTTTTCCTTGTGTATTTTAGTATATTATTAACTTTGCAAATTTAAATGACAATAAAACATTTTATTTACACACAGGCATTTGTAAAAGCATATAGCTTCTTTTGAGTGACCTACTTTAATTAAAAAAATATTTTACATTTTTTTTTTTTTTGAATATATTATATTTATATTTTATTAGAAATTTATTAGAAATTTAATCAGATTAGTCTATAACTTTTTACTGTTGTCAGTTGTCAGAAACAATTCAAAGAATTGGAATATTGCCGGTAATTACGCCTATGTCACGTGGCAACGCATGCGCATTATTGCAAAACAAATTTTTCGAGTACACTTTTGCAAATTTCTATTCTAATAATCAAAAAATCTATTTTTCTACTTTTTCTAAACAATACCAACAAAAAACTCTAATTCTACAATTTTAATCACCAAAACACTTATCCAAAGAGTAAACAATCTTCAATGTTATCTAACATAACCTAACTTTCAAGCATTTCAATCATTACCATTATTTCAACTATATTTGAACATTTGAAGCCTTTGGAGTATTTCCCCCTCAAGTATTTTCATAAACATTGATGAAAAAACAATAAAAAATTAATTTTAGCCGGTATCTCATCTCATTTCACTGGGTAACGAAAAGTACGGTTATAATTTCTTGGCCTCGTGCCCAGGGGCCAATCAGCGTCCACCACGATCAATGAGGTGCCACGCGTTATTAACCGCGTTTCACAAACGAGGAAGGCCCACAACCGCCACAACCTTTTGATATCTCGCTCATTCCGACTGGAATCGTCATCGTTAGAGGCAGTGTATTTTAAAAAAAACATTAGTTCAACAAACCCGCGCGTTGCTTTTTAACGGGGCCCGGTGTTCGTTAAATACCTCGTGAATTCTTGTGAGCGACTCAGTTCACAAAATTTCATCGAATATTATAAATCAAAAGCAAACGATGAAACCGACGATATTTCTCGTGTTTCTCATCGCCGGGATTTTTGCCGAAATCAAGAATGAAGATGATGTTTTAGTCATCACAAACGCAAATTTTAAGGATGCCATCACTGAACATCCTTACATTCTCATTGAATTCTGTGAGTTTTACATTTTTTATTTTTTTCAAGAATTTTATTTTTTATTATGTACTTTTGTCCCCTGTTGCTTTGTCTTGCATTCCAAAGGATTTTAGTCTTTTTCTCTCCCACACAACTAATCATAGAGACCATCTTCCAGCTGTTTGACTTTACACGTCATCAAATTATCAATTCTCATCCTGTTGTTTTAGTTACTTGTTGCATTAACTTTTAATGTTTCTTTTTACAATATTTTAGAATATTCACTAAATTTTACGAAAATTGTAAAACAAGTATTTTAATCTTTATTTGTTTTTTACTCCTAATTATCAAATCTAATTGAAAAGATTATTTTTCGAGAATTTGAATAATTTTTTATTGTGCAAATCTCATGGTTACGATTCATTTAAATATTTTTTTACTTTCTGAATTTACAGTAGGTATTTAAAGTATTTAATGTTCTGGTAGTTTTTTAGTAAGAAATTTTTCATTCAAATTCGATATTATTTGAAATTATCACAGATTATATTATAAATTAAAATTAAAGAAATGAAATTTTGTTATAATTTTTGTATTATAAATTAGAAGTGGTATTATGAATAAAAATAAATTATAGATGCTCCATGGTGCGGACATTGCAAAGCATTGGCACCCGAATATGCCAAAGCTGCAAAGAAATTGTTAGAAATGGAATCGGAAATCAAACTCGGTAAAGTTGATGCAACAGTTGAATCAGAATTAGCCGAGAAATATGACGTGCGAGGCTATCCTACACTTGTATTCTCCCGTCATGGTGAATGGATTGAATACAGCGGTGGTAGACAAGCTGACGATATTGTCAACTGGGTTTTGAAGAAGACTGGACCATCTGCTAAAGATTTGAAAACTGTTGATGAAGCTAAGGCTCTAATTGACGAACATAATGTCGTCGTCATTGGATTCTTCAAAGTAAGTCAAAAACTAATTAATATTCATTTTATGTATCATTTTTAATTCATACCATATAGTAGCCTTCCCTTATTTTAATATTTAAATTAATATTAATTATCAATGTAATTAAAGTTCATCAAATAATAACAAAAATAAAATATTAATTATTTAGGTATTTAATTAATAAATATGATGACAAATTTCAAATTTTTTTAAAAAAGAAGCAATTTTGATTTTTTGGACTAATGAAACGATAATTAATTAATGTAATTAAAATTCACAGAATAATTAATATCATCATTTTTATCTAATTTTTAATTCGTGCTATAATTCATCCCTTGGCTATTTTAATTAAATATAAATTATTGAATTAAATGTCAAATTAATAATATCAATAATATTAATTTGTGACGCACTTCTAAAAAAGATACCCAAGAAGCAAATAAATTATAGGTTAAGTTCATTGTAGTTTTATCTTCATTAAAAGTATCTTTTTAATTATATAAATTTTAAATTAGTTTTTATGGAATATTTTTGATGTCACGAACAATTGAACATTAATAATTTGTAATTGTAATGATTCTCTTTCTGTATTTTTACTCCAAAAATCTATAAACATAACCTCAAATTTTTTGCGCCTTAGGTAATTTAGAATGGTGTCACAATTGTTTATATTAATTCAGTTTAATTCATTTTTTAATAAAAAAAATAGTTTTTACTTGCGTAAAATATTCTATTAGGAGAACAAGAAAAAGAAGTCTTGATGGTCTTGATATCGAATTATTTCGCAAACAGAACAAAGAACAATCCATACAAATATATTTTAAATGAATTTCTTGTAAATGTTTAGATAAAATTAAATATTAAATTCGAAGAATATTTCCTATTCGTGACTATTTTTTAGTTTTTATAATAAGTAAGTTACAATACAATTCCACTTTTTTCTCATTCAGAAAGTAATTAAAAATTGAATAATTTAATTAAAAATAAAAAATTTTAACTATAAATTAAATAATTTAGATAAAAAAAAAAAATGTAATTATAAATTAAATAATTTAATTCAAAAACAGAAAATTTAATAAAAAATCAAAAAAGTTAATTGTAAATAAATATTTTCAATTTAGTTCAATTAAAAATAAGTTTGATTCGATTTATTAATTTTATTATTATTTTATTAATTAATTTTATTACAGGATCAAGAATGTGATGAAGCTAAAGTATTCTTGAAAGTTGCTGATGGTGTTCACGACAGTGTGTTCGGAATTTCTTCCGCTGAAGAATTATTCAAGGAACATGGTGTTGAAGACAAAAAAGTTGTTCTCTTCAAGAAAGTGAGTAAAACTTTTGCACTATTAACTGTAAAATTTCCCAATCCTCTCAAAATCACCGTTAATTATTTTTACAATGATTTTACAATATTTCAGAATATTTAAATACTAAATTTTTTCCCACAATTATTTTACAGTTCGACGAAGGCAAGAGCGTATTTGACGATGAGTTCGATCACAAAGTATTGACAAATTTCGTCAAGGTTGAATCTCTACCACTTATCATTGACTTCAATCACGAAACTGCACAGAAAGTATTCTCCGGTGAGGTCAAGAGCCACCTTTTGGTCTTCCTCAGCAGCAAAGCTGGACATTTCGATGAATATGTGAAAAATCTCGAGGCAGCCGCCAAGAAACATCGCAAAGACGTAAGAAACACTTGACATTCGAATTTAAAAAAAAATTGTTATTTTAGATTTTTTTAGACATAAAACTGCCTTTTTTAAATTATATATAATAATTTTACAATTTATTTTACAACTTTGTATCTATAACAAAAAATTTATTTTAGATTTTATTCGTTACAATCAATGCCGACGAAACTGACCACGAACGTATTCTCGAATTCTTCGGAATGAAAAAAGAAGAAGTGCCAGCGATGCGTATCATTAAATTGGAAGAAGATATGTCCAAATACAAACCAGACAATCCAGAAATCACTTCTGAAAATGTTATGAACTTTGTTGAATCGTTTGTTGCCGGAAAGGTGAAGAGACATTTACTCACACAAGACTTGCCTGAGGATTGGGACAAGGAGCATGTTAAGGTTCTCGTTGGAACTAATTTCCATGAAGTCGCTTATAACAAAGAAAAGGACGTTCTTGTCGAATTCTATGCTCCATGGTGCGGACACTGCAAACAACTTGTGCCCATCTACGATTCTGTACGTAGTTTCAATATTTTGTTTCTATTTTCTAATTTAATTCCAATTTAATTACTCTTTAATTGCCTTTAAATACTCTTAGTACTAAAAAAAACTTTTTAATACTTTCTGTTGCTTTTAAATAATTTTTAGTACCTTTAAATATTTTTTAGTACATTTGAATAGTTTTTTTAGTACTTTTAAATAGTTTTTAGTACTTTCCTATATTTTGGCACTTTTTAATACTCTTTTACTAGTGAAGATAAATTTTCTTTATTTTCAAATAAGTAGATTTGAAATAATCGTTTTTTAAGAATGAGACAAATTTTTAACGATTTCTTTTATGACAAGAATTTATTACTCACGTTTTCTTTTTTTACAGCTCGGTGAGAAGTTCAAGGACAGAGAAGACATTGTCATTGCCAAGATGGACGCCACCGCCAACGAATTGGAAGATGTTAAAATTTCCAGCTTCCCAACTATCTACCTTTACAAGAAGGAGACAAACGAGGTAAATATTTATAGAGAATTTTATTTAATCCATTTAAATGATTCCCGACAATTTATGATCTTTTTGTTTAAACAAAAATTTTTCTGCTTCTAGGCTATTGAATTCAAGGACGAGAGAACACTTAAAGGACTTTCCGAATTCCTTGAAAGAGGAGGAGAAAGAGACGCATCCAGCGAAGAGGTAATATTCTATTTCGAATTCTACCGTTTAGAACTAAAAAAAAATGTTACGAATTATTTTACTCAATTTAAAATATTTTTTTCAGACTCAAGAGACAGACGAGGACGACGATGCACCTCGAAAAGATGAGTTGTAAAAAGTTACACCAAGAGAATATTTATCATTCATCTTTATGCTTCATAACGACGGGATGTCAAATTCCATTTATTTTTAATGGAAGCAACACCCGAAATTCACCAATCGTTTCTGTTGTCTATGTTCATCAAAAATAAATCGTCACACTACAATTTTTGAACTCACGCACGAGGCTCTTTCGCAGACCAAAGGATAAAAAAGTCGAATTTTCCCTATATTATGAAGTGAAGTTTTGTAAAAAAAAAAAGAAGAAAAATTGTGCAAAGACCCTCTCGTGACGTTATAACACTTTATTAAATGTACAACGCATGATTTTTTTTGTAAAGATCTAGACACTTTGAAACAGTGTTTAATTTAACTGTTTAGTTCGTTTTGATTGTATCTAAATGGCACAATCAAAGGGTACTTACATATTGCTCTTCCATAATTAATAATTATACCAATTTTTTTTTGGGGACTTTCACTCGTGATTTTTATTTTTATATGAAACAGCATTTTTAATAGTATGTATATTGTAATGAAAAATTCCATCAATATTGTTTTAAGTTTAAAGACGATGCTGTAGAAAGTTAAAAAGAAGTCCTTTTTTACATTATTATAATTCTATTCTACAGCATTTTGTTTAATACAATGGTTGTTAATTAAGATTTTAGACTAGAGTTCGATTTATTCGAGCTCAGTTTCGACTGAAAAAGAAACGTTTTAGGAAATTTAAAGAAAAGCATGAAATGAAACTATAAATTCTTACATAATTCTTAATATAATATATAAATTTGTCAATTTGCAGTTTTTTTCAATAATCCCAAAAAACCCCAATAATTCTCATGACAAATCGGTTAACATTAAGTTATGAATTTTTTTCACTTTGATTATAATTTTTACAATCTTAATTTTTACATTTAGAATAATAATGGTGAAATTGAAGAAGAAGTGCAACATTTCAACTTGAAACCTCTGCTCAATTTCGTTCAACGCGAATTCATTTTAACCGAGAGCGTAAAAAGTGTCTTAAATTCAAATTGCGAAGAAGCGAAATTCGCCTTAAAGTCTTGGCCGCAGAAAACAAATCACAAAGAAATGAATTCAACCCTCTGTACTTGTTATGGAGTAAGAAAATCTATTTTTAACAAATTAAATTTTTCTAATTAAGAATAAAAAAACAAATTTTTTATAGCCTGAATCAGATCATCAGCTACAAATGAAAGAAATCGACAAGAAAATTTTACACAAGGAAGAATTGAAAGAGAAATTAAAAACAAATTTGTTAAAAGAAAAAAATCGATCACGAAAGTTGGAAGTTAGTGAAATTTACAAGCCAAAGTCAAAAAGTTCAACACGTTTGAGACGTAGCAGTTCAATATCGCAGACAAGACTGGGAAAAAAGCCGGAGAGTAAATGTAGAATAAATGAAAAAAATTCCGTCGAAACATTATCAAAGCGAAGATCTTCCTCTAGTATTCGGCAAACGGAAGTTAATTCAAAACATTCAAACGGTGAAAAAAAGAAATTACCAGAATTAACGAATAAACAGTCGAAAATTACATCCAAGTCTTGTTCGCAAACAAATTTCGTTTTAGCGAATAAATTAAGTCTTTCGAAAAGTGCTCAGTCGGCTGACAATCGAAATCGTCTTCCTCCTTTAAAGGTGACGGAAAAAACACTGTCCAAAGATTTTATGAAGGTAATTTAATTTTTTTTTTTTTAAATTATACTTTTACCATTTGGGAATAATTTCATTTACTTAATATAAAATTAAATAAATAATATAAAGTCTATAAAGTAATTTCTATCGTAAATAAACTTATTTGCTTGGAGAAAATTTCTTAAAGCGCTCCGAAGAGTAAACGAATTTTTTGGTTATGTTTGTAATTTTTTTGGAAGAAAATACACAAAGGAATTAACTCTGAAAATAAACCGTGGATATTTAAATCTTTATAACATCTAAAATAATTAATAAAAAGTACTTTTAGCATTACACAATTAAACAGAAAATTTTAATAAGAGTAAAAATCACAAAGCATAACCTTGAAATGATTTGCTTCTTAAGTAATACCAAAATACGCCTTTTTTCGGAGCGCGTTATACTTGTTAATTAAATATATAATGTATTATTGAAGAAATAATAAAATAATAAATTTATTTATTTATTAATATTTTAAAGAAGGTTCTAATTCAACAACCAAAAGAATTAAGTGATGAAAAGTATAAAGAAAACCAAAAATGTCCTCTTCATGAAAGTAATGAAACTGCGGAACTTACTGATCAAAATGTAAAAATTGTGGATGCTGTAGATGGACTAGACAGGCATGGGATTCCTCCTTGTCTTGTGAAAATATTGAAAGATTATAATTCATATGTAACAACAAAGTCAACAACCCCAAAGGCAAAGGATAAAAGAACTCAGGAATCTTCCAACAATTTTCTCTCGAAATTCGATAATATGGTAATAGATATTAGAAAGAACTAAATTTCGAATATTTACTTTCACTATTTTATTTGTTTATTTTTTAAATTATTTAATTCTTTAATTAATTTAAAAAAGTGTTAATTGTGACGCGTCGCGAAGAAACGGATTTAAACCGCATTTAAACATAGCAAACATAACCTATAAAATTTTGACAGTTCGGACATGGTTCGGACAGTTCTTAAGTCGAACCAGTCGAACGAAAGTTTGTGTTGCAATTGTTATATAAAAAAATCACTACTTAATTTAAATATAGGTAAAATATTCAACAATTAAGAGTATAACTCTATAATAAGAATAAAATACTTACTGAACATTTTCAGTGTCTTCAGAGGCAAAAAGAAAACTCCAAGTTCGAGACACTTCCGCTTCTTGCAAAAGGTTTCATCGAAATTTTAGGCGACTTATATAATCACAATGAAACGAAAACCATTCAGAAAAATGAATTAAAAGCAAAATATTCCCGTTTGAATTTAGAATATAAAAATGTCTTTGCTCATAAAAAAGAAAAGACGAAAATTTCGGAAAATAGTGGTAATTCTCTCGATAAACGAGGATGGATGTCGCTCGGAATTTGGAACGATTTGTGTCTTTCGAATTTTGAAGGTTCGGTCAAATCTAAAAGTATTATTCATATTCACGAAACGATAAAAATTATTCTTTTTCAACAGTATAATTTATTTTTATTTATTTATAAAAGAACAAAGTTTAAACAGAGCTAATTAATTTTAATAATTATTAATTTTCTTTTATTTATAATTTTAGGAATGACAAAAGTTCTCTGCATTCGTTATTCAAGTAGAGTTCAACTCACCTTATTATTTGATGCCATTCAACAAATCCAAAGAACAAAATATCGAAAAGTTTTAGTCAATTATTTACTTTACAAAGTAATGCCATATGTGAAAAATTATTTAGAACCAAATAGCAAGGAATTTGCAGAAATCTATAAAATGTCCTTCACAATAATTCAAACTTTAAATCCAAAAGTTCCCGTTCTGGTGAAAACGGATAATTAAAATTTTTCTTCTCATTACAATTATGTATAAACAATCTTTGATTACATTAAAATAACTTTTACGTTCAAAGTAATCTTTCCTGAAATCAAATAATGTTTTTTAAATCTCTGACAATTAATTTTCCAAAGAAAAAGCTTCGCTTCCCTGGAGAATTGATTGATCAAACATTTCTGTATACAATTTGTACTCGATTACTGAGGAATACCAAGCAACCATTGTGATTTGATACTTAATGAAAAATAAATTTTATCTTTTGTACAAATTTTGTTTAAATAGTTCGTCACTTTATTGAAGGAAAAGAAGGAATAATTAACAATAATTGAAATTCTGATAATTTTTTTTGTCGTTTTGTGACTATTTTTAGTAGGGAGTAATAATAATAAGAGTAATATAAATATTAATAGAAATAATAATAATAATAAAATAATAATAGTAATAAAGAAAAGAAGGAATAATTAACTAAAACAAAAATGGATGTACAATATTGCTATGAGAAAAAAAGGTGTCAATTTGGAAAGAGATGTAATTTTTCTGAGCAAGACAAATTGGAAGTTGACATTAAATCAGATGCATCACAGGCACAAAATTTTATTCGGATGGATCCCATAACACAGGGCACACAGGACAGAAAAATTTTCGCTGTCCACGAGGTTTGTTTTATTTTAAATAATTATTTAACAAATATTTTTTTATTTATTCAATATTTTTTTAAATATTACCATTAAATTTAAACTTTTCAAAAAATTTTAATATAAATTCAATTATTTTTGACAATTTTAATGAAATTCTTTTAAAAAATCAGTATTATCAAAAGTTGTAATAAAATTCCTTTAACAAATTCAATTATTTACAAAAAATCAGATAAAATTCTTCGAAACAATTCAATTATTTTTGTAAGTATTAAAATTCTTCAGAGAAATTCAATTATTTTTAATACAATTTTAATAAAATTTCTCGAAAAAATACAATTATTTTTTAAAATATTAATTAAATTCAATTATTGTAAAAGAGTTTTAATAAAAATTCAATTATTTTCAATTTAGATCAAATTCTTTTTAAAAAATCATTATTTTCAAAATTTTCAATAAAATTCCTTCGAAAAATTTAATTATTTTCAAAAATTCAGAAAAAATTCTTCGAAACAAATCCATTGTTTTCATAAATAAAAAAATTCTTTGCAATATTAAAATATTTTCATAAATAATAAAATTCTTTGCAAGAATTCAATTATTTTTGTAAAAATTAAAATTCTTCTGAGAAATTCAATTATTTTTAATACAATTTTAATAAAATTTCTTGAAAGAATACAATTATTTTTAAAAATATTATTTAGATTCAATTATTTTCAAGAGTTTTTAATAAAAATTCAATTATTTTCAACAATTCTGATAAAAAATTCTTTGAAACAATTCAATTATTTTTTATAAATTGTAAAATTCTTTACCTACAAGATTTAAATTATTTTTGTAAATATTAAAATTCTTCTGAAAAAATCAATTATTTTCAATACAATTTTAATAAAGTTTCTAGGAAAAAATTCAATTATATTCAAGATAATTTTAATAAAATTTCTCTAACAGCTTTCAATTATTTTTATAAATTGTAATAAAATTTTTCTAAACCATTCAGTTGTTGTTCTCAAAAGTTTTGAATAAAATTTTTTGTAAATTTCAATTATTTTCAAAATTTTTTAATTAAAATTATTTTAAAAAATTACATTATTTTTACGAAATTGAATGAAATTCTTAAAAAAAATGTAATTATTTACAAATACTTTAATAAAATTGTATAAAAGAATTTAATTTTCTATGAATAATTTTAATATAATTTAATAGGAAAATAAATAAATTATTAATTACAATTAATAATAAACATGATTATATTAAAAAGTTAAAAGAAAATCGTTATAAAATTCAATCACTTTCAAAGTTTTCAGTAAAAATTATTTTTAAAAAACTCCATTATTTTCAAGAAAATTGAAATAAATTCTTCAAAACAATTTACTTATTTTAAAGAATTTTAATAGAAATCTTGCAAAGAATTAAATTATTTTCAATATACGATTTTAATTACATTTTCTCGAAAGAATTCAATTATTGAAAAAAAATGTTGATAAAATTCTTGAAATGAATTCAATTATTTTCAAATTTTTCGATAAATACTTTGCAAGCATTCAATGATTAGATTATTTATTTTTAATTACGTTATTTTTTAGTTTTATTTACGTTTTTATGTATTTTTATTTACGTTCTTTTTTATTTTTATTTTCCTTATTATTTAAATGTTAATTACGTTCTGTTTATTTTCCTTATTATTTATTTTTATCTACGTTATGTTTATTTTTATTTACTTTAATATTTTTTTTTATTTGATAATTATTTGTGTAGCCCATGATTATAAAAATTGTATTATTGTTATTTTTTATTATTGTTTATTTAATTGTTTTCATTATATTACAAATGCCAAAATTAATTTTTAGATAAACACGACAACTGCGACTTTCAAAGAAAATGGAATGCATCACGTCGAAGGTGGATGGCCGAAGGACATCAATATGCACGATTTGGAGCAGACAGTCCGATATAGACGAAAAATAGAAAAAGATGAATTCTACGTTCACACAATGCTGCAAATGCTGCCGGTAATTTATTTAAATCTACACAAGGAAAAATTTTTTTAAAATAAGAATTTTATTTAACTCTCTGCTGATGCTAACGACCGTTATCGTCAAAAATCGTTTTCGATTTTCGTTATTTACACTTTATTGGAATAGTGACTTTGTTTTCAGACGATGGAACATTGCGCTTTACAAAACAATGCTTGCAATATTTACGAAGAATATTTCAACAATAGTGATTCGACTCCTCTAATTCAAAAACCATTTTCTCGAACTGTCAATGTCTATCGAGATCCACTGCCAATGAAGAGACCAATAACTCATCTCTCTTGGTCGCCGGATCAAGGAAATCGAATAGCAGTCAGTTATTGTAATATGACTTTTAAAAAGACTTCGACTTACAGTGCCATGTCTTACATTTGGGATGTCGGTAAGTATCATTAAAGAAAAAGTTTTTGATCAGAAAAAAAATTATACCTAAAATTTAAAACGTATTTTTACCAATTTCGCAGAAAATCCGAACAAACCGTGCATGGAATTAAAACCTTTCTCTCCAATGGTGACATTAGAATACAATCCGAAAGACAGTAATATCCTGATAAGTGGATTAGTTACGGGACAAATAGCTGTCTGGGACATAAGAAGAGCTTCCGAACCAACGGACGTGAGTTTAATCGAAAACAGTCACAGGGATCCTTGCCATAAAGTTTTATGGATAAATTCGAAAACTGCCACCGAATTCTTCAGTGCTTCAAAAGACGGACAAGTAATTAATTCATTAATTAATTAATAATCAATTCTCAATCAATAAATTTAGGAAATAATGAATGATTCAATACGAAAATATAAATAATGATTAGGAAAAAACGAAAAATATCATAACAGGTTAAATGGTGGGACACAAGAAAACTGCAAAGTCCAATAGAAACTTTGGTGATGGATTTAATAAAACCAGAGGAACAGAACATTGACCGGGCAATTGGAATTTCGAATTTGCAATTTGAACCTTCTCTTGGAACGCGATTTATGTGTGGATTAGAAAATGGTAATAAATAGACTTGCTGCCAAGAAAAATTCCTAGGCAAAAAATTTGATGTTATTTTTATAATTTTTTGAGTAAAAACCAAAATACATATAATTCGTTCACTCTTTCTTGGGAGCGTGTCACAAATAATATAAAAAATACAATTTTAAGTGTAGAAAATTTTGATTTTTATGAAAAAATAATATTTTTACACAGGCATTGTAATATCCGGAAATAGAAAAGGTAAAACACCTCTGGAAAAAATTGCCACTCGTTTCAAGGCTCATTATGGACCGGTTATAAGTGTAGAAAGAAATCCAACTTTTGTGAAAAATTTTCTAACAGTAGGCGATTGGACCGCTAGAATCTGGTCAGAAGACTGCAGGGAATCGTGCATTGTTTGGACACCGTCAGTTAATAATCTTTTTAGGAATCGTTTTCTTATTAATTTCATACTTTTTCAATCATATTTTAGAACTTTATTATTTTGAATTTCCGATTTTGATTAATCAATTTTTTTTAATAAAATAATTTTATTTTCAGAGGACATAGAGATCTTCTAACAGGCGGCGTTTGGAGTACAACTCGATTCTCCGTTTTCTTCATTACAAAAGTCGATGGAACTCTAGACGTTTGGGATTTAATTGTCCAGCAAGATTCTCCAGTTTTAAGCGTCAAGGTACTCAAAATTTATCTTCTTTATACCTATTTGGCAATAAAAATTCAAGCAAAAAAAGTATTTCTTATTTCTACTAATAAGTAATTTTCTGACCTTTTCTTTTTTTTCGATAAATTTTCTGACCAAAATTTTTTTTGCAAAAATAGGTGTGCGATAATAGTTTGACAAGTATCAGACCTCACGAGCAAGGACAATTGGTTGCAGTTGCCAGTAAGAATGGAATGACATATTTAATTGAATTCTCCGAAGTCTTGACAACAAATCAGAAAAATGACAAACTCTTGCTTACGGCGGTAAATAATTGAGAATAATTATTTAACTCCAGATTTATCACTTTTATTCCTTAAAGTGTAAACATAACGTCTCTTTTTAGCTTTTGGATAGAGAGACTAGACGAGAGAAGGTTATAGAGGCAAAAAATAGAGAGCAAAGACTAAAAATGAAGACAATAAAACCCGAGTTGCCCAGTGAATCGCACGAAGTAAATAAATCTGAAATTCAAGAGTCGAATAAAGATTCGCATATAGTTCAATGTGAACAGGACTACGAAACTGCTATTCAAGCGGTAATTCTAATTATTATTATAAATAATGAAATAATTTTTTAAAAAAACTTAAATTTCTTGCAATTAATTGCAATTTAAAATAATAAATCAAATAATAGTGACTTTTACATTAATTAATAATTTTTAATTTAAAGGAAATTGCTAGACAGAGTGCTGAGGTAAATAACAATCATTTACCTAATGGACCAACAAATAATTAAATATTTTCTACCACGTATTGCTAATTGACTTGAACTGAATATTCAATAAATAATTTTTTAAAACAAACATTACATTTTCTAATAGAAATTGATCTATTTAATTAATTTGTATATTTTTTTTATTTATATTATAATTTATTTATTTATTTTATTAAAAAAGGTTTTCAAGATGTTTAGTTTAGTTTTGATGTTGTGGAGGTTATTATATTTTTATTATTATTTTTGTATTATTATATTACTATTTGCTATTATATTACCATTTTTCTTTTTACTTAAACTATTTTTACTATTTTTGTTATTATTATGAAATTTATGAAATATATGAAATAAAATCGTTATCGAAACGTTAAAAAAACAATTTCTGCGGGTAAAGAAATGACAAACAGTAGAAGAAAGTTTCAGTGCATTATATAAAACGTATAAAACAAACCGTTACTTTGACGGTTGCAAAAATGAAAGTTTTTAATAAATTAAAAAATACAAATTAACCAAGACTGGAGATTTTCAACAAAAGATTCATCAAAAATGGATTTCCATCAACTGATATCAAAAATTAAAAGTTTACTATTAAAATAATAATTAAATTCACAAAATTCATCAAAAATAGGTTAGTCCGTTTTTTTAATTTTCTATTTATTATTTCAGTTATAAAAATTACTCGAAAAAGATCAATAGGTAATCGTCTAAAAATAAATATTTTTTAATCAATTTTTAGTAAAACAAATCGAAAATATTTTTTAATATGATAATTTGGGTATATTTTAAATTGATTCAGTTTCATAATAAATGACATTTTTTTGTTTATGAAAAAAAAAATAGTTTCTGAAACAAAGTTCGAATGTAAATATAAACAACAATACTAAAGCAGTTCAGAGGAAAGTAAACATAATTAAAAATTAATTTACTTGTTTTTAATAAAAGAGTAAAACTTAGAATCACTTTAAATGAATGAAACTATAGTGATGATAGAGAAACAAAACTCAAGTCGTCAATCGATCGATATTCAAGGCGATTACCTATGCGAGTATAACAACAACGTGCAAAGGGGTCGGAAACGTTAGTGAAACGCAGTAAAGAACACCTGTCAGTTTTCTTCTAACTTCCAACAGTTTACCTAATAAATGTGAGCACAGTGAAAATAATTTAAAAAAACATTTAAAAAAAATTTTCTGTTTATTTAAAAAAGAATGAAAATATTTCTCTAAATGTACAAAAAAGTTGCAAAAAATTAGGACATGTCATTGATCTTTTTTTAACTTATGGAAATTTGGTTTTTAAATTCCGTTTCTCTATGATGACGGAAGTGACTGACTTTAGAGGGTGTTTTAAATTTTTCCCAGAATTTTTAAAAAAAATTTTCTCGTGAAATAGTTTCAAGTTTTGTTTAACTTGAAATTTTATGTCGAGTGCTATTTTCGATTTTTGTTTATTTTATTACAAAATATTGAAAAATATAGAAAAGTGTTTCGGAAAAAAAGTAATTTTACTCCGGTTCACCGAAAAAAATTCTTAGAAAATAGAAAATAAAATTTCGAGATTGTAATCTCGAAATTTTATTTTCCATTTTCTAAGAATATTTTTTTCCTATTTAAACAATGGAGTTATTGGCTGTATTTAATTATCGACATCACCCATGGAAACCAATCACTTTCTAGACGGAAATTTACATTAGAAATTAAATTTGCATTTCAATTTAAAATTACCCAAAAGTGTCAATAGAATTTTTTTTTTAAGGATAAATTCATTTTTTTAAAATTGAAATTAAAAATTAATTTTCCGTTTAGATTCAACAAGAATGGAAAATCAAAGAATGGAACTGAGTAGGAGGCTGAAAGCTCGAAGAAATGAACAAATGAAAAGAAGTCGAACACCCAAGAGCTTGGAGAAAAAATCGGAGGAAAAATTGGAGGACCAGAATGATTCGGATTCGCAAAAAACTTTTTCCAAAGATAATCGATATTCGCGAAGGATTTCAATAAGTGAAAGAAGTGCAAAATCTCCAGTGAAGCAGAATAATCTCGAGACGACAGTCGACATTGAGCCACTGGTGGATACAATTCAAAAATCGACTAAAGAAATTTTACGACCACCTCCTGGTCGATCTGTACTGAAAAGGACGATAAATGTTCAATCACTGGATATCGAGTCCGCCGAGGATTCATCACTAAAAACAGAGCCAATGAATGTCGTCGTCGACGTTCACTGTGAAAACGAAATCAGACCCAAAAGTTCGAGACGAAGTTCTAGAGAAAAATCTCCCTCGCCGCCCAGAAGATCTGCATTTGTCAGTTCAGACGAGGATGCTCCAAAAAAGCAATCTGACAATATTTTTAGTAAATCTTTCAAGAAACAGGAATCCGAACAAAGCAACGGAAATTCTGGTAATGTAAAAGAATCTAATCTTTTCCTCAGTTTTCATCATTTTCGTATAACAATAATATATCGATTTGAACTTTTCTATTTTGAAATTGTTTCGATAACTTGATGCACATTTTTAAATACATTTTTGATATACGAAATTTTTTTTTGTTTTTAGATCGAATACAAGATATTATAGAATATCCAACAAAGCTGCAAACACGAGAAGTTCGGCAAAAGGAAGCAACGGTCGATTTGACGAGAGATGAGAAATTAATGAAGAAAACTGTCAGAGGGCGAAAGGTGGACAAATCCCCAGAGGCTTCAACTTCAGGACCACGACCACGAAAACGATGGTCCATTCTGGAAACAATTTACGTGTCCGAAGATGTCAAAAAGGGAAAAAAGCCCTGGTCAGAAGAAGTCACGTCCGATTCTTTCTGGCAAGATAAGGCAAAATCTTCTTGGGACACTTCGTCCGGAAAGGAAGATTCTCCAAAAACTTATGCCACTTCCAGTCGCAAAACTCTCGTCAAAGTATTTCACTTTCAACTTTCGCATTTTTTATTTTATTTTTCTGGAAAAAAAATCTAGGTACTGAGGAAATTTTTCTTCCAGGAGCAACTCAAGAAACCAGTACCAGCTCCTCGTTCAAAGAGCCAAAAATCGATTAACGTTTCCAGCATGGCTTTTGATAATGAAGCATTTTCATCAGAGCACGAGGAGGTTCTGCGAATCGAAACGAATCCTGAGAATAGAAAAATAAAAATGAGTTTGGAAACAGTGGGCATAAAAACAGGTAGATAATTTTATCAAAACATTGTCAGGCTTCGCACTCATCTACTAAAACCTACTATTTCTGTTTTTTTTTTCTTTTGAGAATTTTCACTATCTACTTTAAATTCGCTAATACTAGAAATCAAAAAACTTCTCAAAAATTATAATCAAATTTTCTAAAACGATTCAATTATTTTCAAAAAATATTCGAAATTCAATTATTTTCAATATTTTTAGTATTTTCATAAAATTTCGCATCAAAAGAGTTCAATTATAAACAAAAATTGATAAAATGACCCAACATTCAAGTATTTTCATAAATAATAAAATTCCCAACAAACATTCAATTAATTTAGAATAGCATTTTCAAAAAAATAAATTCAATTTTTTAAACAAATTTTTGATAAATTGTAAGCAAGAATTCAATTATTTTCATAAATAATAAAATTCTTCTCAGAAATTCAATTATTTTTTGAAAAAATGATAAATTCTTGCATTTTTTTACAATTATTCAATTATTTTCTTAAATTATACAATTTATCACGAGAATTCAATTATTTGAAAAGATTTAAATAAAATTCTTCTCAAGAATTCAAGTATTTTCGTAAATAATAAAATTCTTCTCAGAAATTCAATTATATTTTTAAAAATTGATAAATTCTTTTTTTAATTCTTTGTAAATTTTTCAATTATTTTCCCAAATTATAAAAATTTGTACGAGTATTCAATTATTTAAAAAGAATTAAATAAAATTCTTCTCAAGAATTCAATTATTTTCGTAAATAATAAAATTCTTCTCAGAAATTCAATTATATTTTTAAAAATTGATAAATTCTTTTTTTAATTCTTTGCACAAATATTCAATTATTTTCCCAAATAATAAAATTTTTCACGTGAATTAAATTCTTCAAAAAGAATTAAATAAAATTCTTCGCAATAATTCAATTATTTTCATAAATAATAAAATTCTTCTCAGAAATTCAATTATTTTTTGAAAAATTGATAATGTCTTGAATTTTTTTACAATTATTCAATTATTTTCCCAAATTATAAAATTTTTCACAAAAATTCAATTATTTGAAAATATTTAAACAAAATTCTTTCCAAGAATTCAATTATTTTCATAAATAATAAAATTTTTCTCAAAAATTTAATTATTTTTTTTTAAAATTGATAAATTCTTGAAATCTTCACAACTATTTAATTATTTTCCTTAATAATATAATTTTCACGAGAATTCAATTATTTTTTTTTTAATATTTCATAATATTTATTATATTTTGAAAAAATTAATTATTTAAAACAATGTTTATAAAATTCTTACGAAGAATTCAATTATTTTCAAAAATAACAAACATTTCACAGAAATGCAATTCTTTTTAAACATTTTAATAACATTTTTCGCAATAATTTAATTATTTTCATAAATAATAAAATTTTTCTCACGAATCCAATTTTTTTCTAAATTTTAATAACATTTTAGTAACTATTCAATTATCAGGGTGTCTACTAACCGGGAATTCCGGGAAATAACCGGGAATTTTATTTGACCGGGAAAAACCGGGAATTAGCCGGGAATTTTATACCGAACCGGGAATTTTTTCACAAAAATTAAAAAAGTTTTATTATTTTAATTTGTTTTTAAAAAATAAATTTTTATTTCAATTTTTATAGATATTTATACTGTTCTCTAAATTTAAGTTAGTTAAAAATAATTAATTTGATGATAAAAAATCAGTTACCAATTCAAATATATTATGTAAATAAATTTAAAAAAAATTATGGAGTTAATAGAAATATTGTGAAATTCGACTGAAAATATGTAATTAAATTTGTTAAAGAAATTCATTAGAAACTTTTTAACAAATAAAATTTTCAAAGTATTTTAATTTAATAATTGATTAATAATTGAATATTATAAAGAGTAAAATTCTAATGTATTCATGTTTCTTACTGCGAAGATAAATAGTTAAAATTTTTATTAGTTAATTTTAAAAAATATACATACTTAAAATTGTTTAATAAAATTGAACTTTCGCAAAATTTTTTTTAAATCTAAAAAATAAAATTGTTGTAATTTTTCAATTCTATTGTTTCAAGATAATTGAATTTTTCTAAACAAATCATTGAAATTTTTTTACTTTTTTTGAAAAATAATTGAATTTTTTTAAAGAATTTTATTTAAATTTTTCGAAAATAATCAAGGGAAGTTAGTGACCATAATTATAATTTTATTTTTAAAATTTTAAGTCCCTCTTACAGTTTTAAATCAATTTTTTGCTTCTAAAAATTATACTATTCTATTATTATTTAATAATTATAATTATTGAACTTCTCTTAAATTTTTATCATTTTAAATTTCTGAATGTTCAAATAAATGATATTTATTTATTTGAGCAAATTAAATGTTTATTACATATTAAGTAAATAATTAATTATTGCTGCTTATTATTTTCAAAAATTCTAATAAAATTCTTCACAAAAATTAAATTATTTTCATAAATAATAGCATTCTTTGGAAGGATTCAAATATTTTTATAAATAGTAAAATTCTTTGCAAAAGTTCAATTATTATTATCAATGTAATTTTAATAAAATTGAAAAATCCAATTTTCAATTATAATTATAAAGAGACAAGATTATTTTTAAAAACTTGAAAAAATTCTTTGTTTAATTCAAGTATTTTCCAAGTTTTTAATTAAAATTATTGAAAAAAACATTATTTTCAAAAAATTTAATGATTTATTTATGTTTGAAATCAAATTTAAATTTAAATTTGATAAGAAAAAAAAACCGGGAAAAAATTAGGATATAGCCGGGGAAAACCGGGAAATAACCGGGAATTTTGTTAAACGAAAATAGTAGACACCCTGAATTATTTTCATAAATAAAAAATTTATCGCATGATTTCAATTATTTTTAATACAATTTCATAGGAATTGCGCAAAAAATGTAATTATTCTTAAAATTTTAATTTCTATTCCACTAAAAAATCAATTATTTACAAAAATATTAGAATTTTTCACAGGAATTCAATTATTTTAAAATATTTTAATAAAATTGTTCGAAAGAAATCAATTACTTTTAATACAATTTTAATTAAATTTTTTTGAAATAATCCAATATTATTCTTTTAGATTTTAATAAAAATCTTCCAAAGAATTCAATTATGTACATAAATAATTCTTCCAGAGAATTTAATTATGTCGATAAATAACAAATTTATTTCTGAAAATTCAATTATTTTGAAGCATTTTAATAAAATTCTTTGTAAAATTCAATTATTTTTATAAATCATAAAATTCTTTGCAGGATTTTAATTATTTTTAAAAGTAATAAATTTCTTCTTGAAAATTCAATTGTTTTAAAAAATTCTAATAAAATCGTTCACAAAAATTTAATTATTGTCAAAAATTTTAATTTACTTTTTTAAAATTAATTATTGAGTGTGAAGTCTGCATTGTTCTTTGCTTCAAAAAGCGTCGCAAATTGTTACGAAAAGTATTTAAAAATTATTTGAAAATAATATTTAAATTGACAAATTGGCAGGAAAAGTATTTAAAAATGACGGACAGAAGTAAGTCTGTCCGTCATTTTTAAACACTTTTTCTAACTCCTGTATTCATTTTTCCACCAGAAGAAAAATCTCCGTCGAAAAGACCCAAAAGCAGCTCAAAGTCTCTCAATCGAAAAACGGAAAGATGCTCATCAGGAAAATCCGAGAGTTCTGATTTCGATTCAGACGATCGTCGCCTAAGGCAAAGAATCAAATCACCAAAGAAAAAATCCCTTTCAAACAATTCCGAAGACGAACCATCGCTTTTCAGGAAAAATAGTTTTACAATTACAAAACCAATAATTCGTTCGAAATTACGTCGAAAGAGTGGTGGCAGTGAGGACACATCAAACATGGACAATGAATCCAGTATTTCGCAAACTACTAGTAAAAGAGATATAAAAAGTCGTCGGAATTCTGAGGAGATTTCTTCTGACGTTGAAAACTCCCAGAAATCCAGCTCTAAACATAAAATGCAAATAATTCATTCAAAATATTCTGGTCAGGAAACATCGTTGTCAACAAACGAAGAAGAGGAGATGAGCGATATCGACGACCAGGCTCGAGTAAATCAACAAATTCTGAAAAAAGTTCCAAAAATTAAAAAAAGTCGCAGTTCGGAAATTCATGAAATCGAAGACAGCGATAGTAGACGACAAATTGAGAAGAGAAAGAAAAGTGAATCGTGCAGGAGTAGAACAAGTTCTTCCACTAGGGGAAAAGAATTTTTAGGTGAAGATGCAGGGAGAAAGAAGAAAAAGAAAAGGCGAAAAAAGAAGGAGGAGAAAGAGGAGCAGAAGGAAATTAAATTCGTATCGATAATTGTTCATAGATCTGATGTTTTGGAAATTGACTACATCACACGACATCCAATGGTGAAGGTTCATATTGTCAATGCAAATACGGGAAATTATCTGAAAAATCATGAGAATGGGGGAAAAAGTGACAAATCATATTTACAACCGATAATCACTGGGAAATTCGATATTAAAGAACACAGATCAATTAAGCCAATTTGGGAGGAGGAATTAATTTTCGAACATGATTTTGACGATATTTTGAGGACCGAGGACGAGCAAGTTTTAATTTTCTTCGAAATTATCGATCTCCTTTCTTTCTCTGAAGCTAGTTTAAATTATAATCATTACGGTAAGACAAAAAATCTTAGTTTCTATTTTTTTAATTATAAATCAATTTCTTGTCAAGTGTGACACAAATAGTAAATAATAAATAAATATTAGTAGGTAATAAATATATTAATAATAAATAAATGAAAATAGTAACAATTAATTTTTTATTCTTCAAGGGAGTGAAGGCTGTTGGCACAAAATAGCTTGGGCATTTTTGAGACCAGTCGGAAGTGTTGGATTGCATATTAACAAAAAAGTTAGACTCCAATTATTTAGACCGAGGAAAAGTATTAAGAAATTGGAACGGAAGCAATGCGAGGTATGTGATTTCCTTCAACTTTGAAATTTTAGGGAAAATAAATTAATTAGAATTTTATTAAAATTAATTAAAATCTTTTAAAGGTTTACGCCTGGTGGAAATTGAAGAAACGTGAAAAATATCCGAGTAGTCTCTACATAACAGTATCGCCAGTGGAACCTCCGAAAATCGAACCCGTTTATTATGAACAATTGACGCTAAATGAATTGTCTGATATTCACAGTGATATTCAAAGAACACCGCAGAAAGCTTCAGACGAAATAAGTCTTCCAAAATGGTCGAGACTGACAGCCCAGTCTTGTAAAATACCCAACAAATTATTATTTCAAAGTGAAACGTTCGACAATGGCTCCTTCTATATAGCTTTTAGTAATGATGGCAAATTTTTAGCGTGCACGGTTTCTGAGGAATATGAATTTCCTATTATTGTTTACAAGGTATTGTTCTTTTTCTTCTTTAATATTAACAAAAAATAGTTCGGCTTCACGCTAAATAATTAATTTTAAAAAAGTATCAAGAAGTATAATACTGAAAAAAGTAGTAAAAAAAGTAGCTATCGAAAATTTCAATTTATAATCTTTTAAAATTTAGTTATTTCTAAAGAAATCCTTTTAATATTCAATTATTATCTAATCTTTCACCTGAAATTCGTTTTTAAATCAATGCATATTAAAAAGTTCAAATGAAATTCAACTATTTAGATACAAAAATAAATAAGACATTGAATAATTGAATGTTTCTCAAAATTTAATTGTTTTAAAGAATTTATCAATTTTTAAAAAAATAATTGAATTTTGGAGAAGAATTTTATTATTTATGAAAATAATTGAATTTTTGCGAAGAATTTTATTTAATTCTTTTTAAATAATTGAATTCTCTTGAAAAGTTTTATTATTTTGGAAAGTAATTTAATAATTGTGAAGAATTGAAGAAAGAATTTATCAATTTTTTAAAATATAATTAAATTTCAGAGAAGAATTATATTATTTATGAAAACAATTCAATTCTTGTGAAGAATTTTATTAAATTCTTTTAAAATAATTGAATCTCGTGAAAAATTTTATTATTTAGGAAAATAATTGAATAATTGTGAAGAATTCAAGAATTTATCAATTTAAAAAAAAATAATTGAATTCTTATAATGAATATTCTTATTTATGAAAATAATTGAATTCTTGACAAGCATTTTATTATTTATGCGAAAATAATTGTATTCTTGAGGTAGAATTTTATAGAAAGTTTTTAAATTGATTTTTTTCGAATAATTTTTCGAAATATTTTAAAGAATTCAATTCCTGTGGAAATTTTACTTCTTATAAAAAAATTGAATGTTTGCGAAGAATTTTATTAAAAATCTTTTGTGGAATTTTCTTAAAATTGTATAGATATTGAAATTTATTGATTTTCGAAAAGTTTTTGAGAATAAATCGTTTTAAAGAATTTTATTACAATTTTTAGAATTATTTTTTATTTTAGAAATTGGCGAATGCAAATTTCGCCGAAAAATAAAGAAAAAAGTTGCTTTTAGTGTCATAAATCTAAAAAAGTATCCAAATAGTAGCAAATTGTAAAAGAAAATAGTAAATAGTAGGTTTTAGAAGATGAGTGCGAAGCCTGCTAATATACTTATTATATTCTAGGTTGACGAGAAAAAGATTAACGTTAGATTCAGTGGTCACAAGAATTTTGTTTATTCTCTAAATTGGTCGCAGGACGATCGATATTTATTGTCGGTGTCTTCAGATCAAACCGCTCGTTTATGGGACGTTAGTGAAAAAATAGTTCAACACATTCAAGTAAGATTTTTAATTTATTGATATTATCAATTTTTTCAAAACTTTAAAAATTTTGAAAGAATTTGCAAAAAATGTTAATATAAAAATTCCATTCCAGTTGTTGCCACATCCTTCATACGTCTACTGTGGAAAATTTGATCCAGCCAATTCGTCGATAGTAATCACCGGATGTTACGATCACATTGCGAGAGTTTGGGCGTTGAATAAAAATTCCGAAACTTACGAACTAGTCCAAGAATTAGAGGTTCATGAAGGTTTCGTCAATTCGATTTGCTTTCAAAAGGATGGAAGTTTACTGACCGCCGACAGTGTGGGAGTGATTATTCTCTGGATTATCAAGAAAAATCGCAAGGGTCCGATGAAAAAGGAATGGCAAGTTGGAAAGAAGATTAAATTACCGGAAATCGAAGCAACACCAATTAATACAATTGTCCTCCATCCACGAGGTTCTAGACTTCTTGTTCATTCGCGAAACAATGGTTTAAGATTACTGGACCTGGCAACTGGAGTTGTGCTGCAAAAATACGAAGGTCTCGAAAACAGAAGGTAGGAGATAATTTCCTTGCAATAAAATTCTATTTTATTGCAAAAATTATTACTCAATTAATAATTTAAAATAATAAAACAAAATAGAAAATAAAATAAAAAATGCAATAAAATAGAATTTTATTGCATTTTTTATTTTATTTTCTATTTTGCTTTATTATTTTAAATTATTAATTGAGTAATAAGTAATTTTTGTTGGATTTAGAATACAAACCGCAGCCTGTATTTCTCCATGTGCGACATTGGTTTTCTGCGGGGGAGAGGATGCGACACTTAATGTCTGGAATTTAGAAACTGGAAAACATTTGGCTAAATATTCAATTTGTGACAGCTACAATACAGTTTCCTGTGTCGATTATCATCCGTATGACCACGTTCTTGCTTTTTCTACCTTCGGCAATGCGGCGCCTTTCAAACTTTTTATATTCGACAAAAATTCGACTGGCGATGATGTTGGACTTCATCTTCTGATAAATACAAAGTCGACTATTCTGACAAATAGCGAGGTCGCGGTGCACTCTTTGGAAAATTCACGAACCAAAACTCTCTGGAGTACGTCGACAAAAAGAAGAAGTCTCGAGGATTCTACCGTCCACCCGAGAACATTCAATTCTGGCGAATCTCTATATTTGCATAAATTTGGAGGCTCTACAGGTAATTAAATTCCAAACTTCGTACTTATTTTATTAAAAGTAGTGGAACAAATTAAATTTTTAGAATTTACAAGAAAATTCTGAATTTTTAGTGTCTTTTTTGTTTGACTTATATAAACTAGTAAACTACAACGAATTATAATAAGAAACCTTCAAAATTTTTTTCTATTTCTGATCATAATAAATTTTCTAATATTATTTAATTATTTCAAAAGTTTTAATGCAATTATCTTGATAAATAACAAAATTCTTCACAAAGACTCAATTATTTTTATGAATTAAAAAAAAATTCTTTGCACAATTCAATTAATTTTATAAATAACAATATTCATCACAAGAATTAAATTATTTTCAAAAGTAATAAAATTCTTCGTAGAAATTCGATTATTTAATAAATTTTAACGAAAATATCGTCAAGAGTTTAATTTTCTTTATAAATAGCAACATTTTTCGCCAAAAATTCAATTATTTTCAAAATTTTTTAAGTAATTCAACAAAAGAATTCAATTATCTTTATAAACAACAAAATTCTTCCCTAAAAATCAATTATTTTAAGCAATTTTAAAAAATTTCTTTGCAAAATTCAATTATTTTTATAAATAACAATATTCATCACAGGAATTCAATTATTTTCAAAATTAATAAAATTTTTCATAGAAATTCAATTATTTTCAAAAATTTTAACTTATATCTCGTCAAGAATTCAATTATCTTTATAAATAGCAAAATTTTTCCTCAAAAATTCAATTATTAGCAAAAATTGAAATAAAATTCTTTGCAAAATTTCAATTATTTTCAAAAGTTTTTCGTAATTCAATGATTTTCAATATCTACTATTTTTATAAAATTTATCACAAAATTTAATTATTGAATAAATTTTTTTGATACAATTCTAGGAAAATATTCAATTATTTTCATAAAGGATAAAATTCTTTGAAGAAATTCAATTATTTTTACAAACTTTAACGAATATCTCGTCAAGAATTTAATTATCTTTATAAAAAGCAAAATTTTTCGCCAAAAATTCAATTATTTTCAAAAATTTAAATAAAAATTTTTGCAAAATTTCAATTATTTTTAAAAGTTTTTCGTACTTCAATGATTTTCAATATTTACTATTTTTATAAAATTTATCACAAAATTTAATTATTGAAAATTTTTTTTTTATACAATTCTAGGAAAATATTCAATTATTTTCATGAATAATAAAATTTCATTAAAAATTCAATTATTTTTACAGCAGAATTTTAAATATTTTTAATACAATTTAAAATAAATTCTTCGAAAAATACAGTTATTCTGAAAAATTTTATTAAAACTTGACGAAAGAATTCAAATTTAAGAAACATTCAATTATTCAATAAAATAATAATATTCGTTGCACTGATTCAATTATTTTCATAAATAACTTTTAATTCGTGGTCATTTTAAAATCTCGTCAATAATTAAATTATCTTTATAAGTAGGTAGCGAAAATCTTCGCAAGAATTAAATTATTGTCAAAAATTTTTATATGCTTCTTTTGTCAAAATTTCCAATTATTTAAACAAAATTTAATAAAATGAATCGCATGAATTCAATTATTTTCATAAATTATTATTTAAATTCTTCTCAGGAATTTAATTTTTTTTTAAAGTTTAATAAAATTCTACAAAAAGTTTTCAATTATTTTCAAAAAATTGTTATAAAATTCTTTAATATAATAAATTTCAGTAAAATTAATAATTATAATTAAATTCCTTAAAAGAAATTCATTATTTTCAAAAGTTGTAAATAAAATTCTTCGTCAAAATTAAATTTTAATATTATATTAACATTCAATTGTTGAATAAATTATTTATTTTTGTATTTAAATAATTGAATTCTCGTAGAATTTTCTAATAAAAATTCATTTAAAAATGAATTTCGGTTAAAATAATTTTACAATTAAAGAAATTCGCAAATATTCGAACATTTTTTTGAGTTTCTAATCATTTTTAGAGTGAATCAGAATATATTCTTTAGTGTCAGGGAAAAAGTCAAAATTCTTTCTGAAAATCAGGGAAAAACAAATTAAAATTTTTGTGGCAACCCTGACCCACTATTTGCTAGTTTTCTTACGATTTGCTACTATTCAGATTTGTGATACTAAAAACTACTTTTTTCTATGTTTAAAAATTTTCACCACTTTATATTCACTAAAATTTTAAAACTTTTTTGTTCCAAGGCATCACAATTCTAAAATCAATTAACAAAATATAAATATCCTCCTAAATTTCAGGTCAACTGATCGAGAACGAAGATGGGGAATATCGCAAAGTAAACCTAAAAATGAAACTCCAAAGATTTATGGAATCTGGACCGAGTCTGAAAACAAGAAGCATGAATAGATTAAACAACATAATTGAAAAAATAGACAAAATTCTCCTCAACGCCTCGTCAGCAAAATCACCCGTCGATCTCGAACTTGCCACAACAAATAACGAACAAAACATGACACTAGTGACAACCAATCCAAAATTAGAGCGAGAAAAAAGAAATTCAAAATCAGGAATCTTCAAGGACAATAGTGACGATACAATACATTCAACACTCACTGACGAGGCCATAGAAATGCAAACTTTTCCCAGGGAGAGAAAACCATGGACCGAAAGATCAAAAAGCGCAAAAGCACTACGATCACCAAGACGAATGGAGGAGGAATTAATGAAAACATTCTCCGACAGTGCAGTTATTTGTAGAGAAAAAAAATCCCTCAAAAAACACAGAGAGGAAGACGAGGTGAATTATTTCGAAAATTTCAACAAGACGGAAATGATTCAAATTTATGAGAATCAGAGAAAAAATCTAAATTCCAGTTCATCTGGTTCGGTTGTTATTCATCAGTATGGATTTCCCGGTAAGGAGCGTCCGGAGAGTCCTGACAGTGATGGCACATATGTCGTGGAAAAAGGCGATTTAGAAAAGAATACCGACATTCAGTTTGAACAAGTTTTCGGCAGTGGAAGTTCAATTAAGAGCAATGTCACATTTACTGTGGTGAGCGAAATTGCCGATTCGAAACCTAGAAAGAAAAAATCACAGGTGCAATAAAATCTGAAAGAAAATAGTCAAAATAATTAATAAATAATAATTAATAATAGAAATCTGAAAGTAATATACAATTAACAAGAAGAAATTCGTCAGAAAATTGACAAAAAAAAATTAAATTCTGAAAAGCGAAGAAAATAATTTTCAGCTGAAACTAAAATCTCTGTAGGTAGTAAAAAGATAAAATTAGAATCAACGGCAAATATACATCTGCTACTAGTTCCGCTTTGAGTATACAAACGAAACGAGGGGTCGAGAACTCTAAATTCGACAAAGAATTCTACTAAAAATCCCATATGTATTTTTTTTACGAATATTTCCCTTCTGGAATATAACAATTATTTAAAACAAATAATTCCAAATTATATTTTTACACTATTAAAAATAATTCCAAATTATATTTTTACACTATTAAAAATAATTCCAAATTATATTTTTACACTATTAGAAATAATTCCAAATATTTAGAATGTAACAAATTTTTAATCGATTCTTTTTTTTGAAAGAAAAAAATATCAAAAACTTTCGAAATTAAAGAAAAAATTTTCTTTATCATCAATTTAATAATTTAGTATCAAAAATATTTTTCTATGTTCAAAAAATATTAGAGTTCTTGACACCTCGTCAAAAAAATAGAAATTTTTTTCCAAAATTTGTTTTTAAAAGTTTTTAAAAAAATATACCATTTAATAAAAAAAAATGTGTAATATTTTTAAGTATACGATAGAATGGAAAAATTCGATTGCTTCGAAGACTGATTTGATACAAGACTTTACACTGTTTTCAATATATTCGATTTTTACGGCAAAAATTTGCCAGTTTTGTCGAAAAGAAAAACTCCAGAAACACTTTTTTTTTATTTTAGAAAATAAAAAACTAATTTCGGTGAAATTCACAAAGTTTATAATCAACGATTAATGGAAAACAACTTAAACTTTTTCTCTTTATATAGCAAAATTTTAATTCTTAAAATAATTGTCAAAATTTTTAAACTGAAAACCAATTTCTTTGATTAAAATAACAGATTACTTGTCTATTATTAAATAAATACTTGAATGAAATAATTTTTTTAAATTAATTTTAGAATCAATAATTCCGGTATTTCAATAAAATCCCATTTAATTTTGGTTTAAATAAAAATTATTTGATTCAAGTAAATATTTATTTAATAATTACTTGATAGTAGTCAAGTAATTGTTTATTTGAATCAAATAAATTTTTCCCAATGTGAATAATTTTTAATAATTAATTTTTTAAATAAGTTTTTGAAATTTGTCTACAAAAATGTTGTTTCTTCTAATTTATTTACAAAACTGTTTTTTCTCCTAATTTGTTAACTATAAACGTTGTGAATTTTCTCCAAATGCTATACATTAAATTTTTTTTTAATCAACTTGAAAAGCAAAAGAAAAAAAGAAAAAACTTTCAACGAACTATAAGACTGATAATTTTAAGAAAATCGGAAAATTTGTAATTAAAACGAAAAAAAATCGAAGGATATTATTTAATAACGATTTTTCCTCGTGAGGCAAATTTCGTACTCTTTTGTACATTTATAAAAAATATTATTTACCAAAGATACGAATGAATAAAATCAAAATTAACATTTTAGTTACCGGAAAATTTAAAAATAATTTCAATTTTAATTTTAATTCTCTTTGTATGAAATTTATAAATTTGTATAAATTTAGGTGACAACATTTTTAGCCATGGAGATATCTTGAATTGCACAAAAAACAATTTTTATATTAATTTGCAGATAGAGACTTAGATATTATATATAATTTTGTTAATGTTCCTTGAAATAAAGAAATAATAAGACATTGTTAATTCATCGAGATTGTTTATTTCTCACTTTCCTTGCAAAATTGATGATCATTTATCAATTCCTCAATTACTCAATTCTTCAATTTTTACTGTTTAGTTAATTTCGTTAATTTTTACAATTTTACAATTTTTACAAAACATGATTTTTTTTCAACGTTAGAAGAAAACATTTTTATTATAAAAAATTTTTTTATCGATTCTGAACACTAGAGATTATTGATTTTTTGAAACCAATCTGGAGTCGTGCCATTTTTTAAAAAAGACACAACATCTGGCATGTATTGCGAGAGGTTTTCATAAAACGGCTGCGAAGATTCAGCGATGATGGCAATTATAAATTCAAATATAGTCCGTGATAAAAGTAAATACAAGTAATTTGCAATTATTGCGGGGAAAAAGTACAAAATTACAAGAAAGCATAACACCAATTGTGTCACGTACATTTTTCAAATTATTTTTCTCTTTCAATTTTCCTTTAAAAATTTCCAAGTTTTCGAAATTTTAATAATTTTGCCAAAAGTTGAAGGTGTGTCACTGTTTTTGAAAAAAGAAAACAAAAAGTTTTAAAAAACGTAAATTTTCAATAGAAGTTTATTTATTTCACTTATTTTACTATTTCAACTTTTATTTATTTATTTATTTATAATAATTATATTTATTTTATTATTTATTTATTTACTAATTTAACAATTAGTTTACTAACCAGATGTAAATTACTCCTGGACTTCAAAACATTTTGGAAATTTAATTCTTCGCTAAAAGAATCACTAAACTTTTTGAGCATTTCATCCTTTATTTTCCTTTTTGAGTTTTTTTTTTACTTTTTTCTACTGTTATGCAATTTTTTTTATCAATTTTACTTTTTTAATAGTAACCGAAACATTTTAAACTCGAAAATTTCGATTAGAATTTTTTCTTAATTTTTTCCAAATTTTTCCGAATGCGTTTCTCTTTTGACAAAATTTTTTAACGTCTTTTCATAATAAAAAAAAAACAGTTGACTATATTGGCGTGAAGTTATCGCTAAATTAAAGTTAATTAATTTCGAATTAGAAAAAATTAAAGTTTTTATTCAAATTAAAATAACATTTTTTTACTAAGCAAAAAATTCAGATTTTTTTTTACATAAATTATTTATTTTATGAACAAATTTAATCTATTCGTATATTTGTTACATATTTGAAACATCCGTTAGTTAAACTACTTTGTTAATATTAATTATCCAATTTCAATAAATTAGAATGTGTAAATTAAAAATATGTTAATTATTTAATTAATATTTTCATAATTTTAATAAAATAAATTGAGCATTAAGTATAAAAATTAAAAAAACAATTATCGCACACAAGCGTAAATAGATCGTAAATATTAAGTAATAATCGATTAAATTAATAAGTTTGTTAGAATTTTTAAAAAATAATTGTAAATAATTATTTTGAAAAAGAAATAATTGCCAGAAAAGTTGTGATGATTCGACGCGGGAGTCAGGGGTGCGTCAGCGGTCAGTGTTCATTTTCGTCTGCAACACTCCTCTTGTGTATTATCGTCGTTGTTAAAGATGAACATCGAAATAAATTTGACATTTTCCGTGAAATTCTGACAAATTGAAAACTTAGTTTTTAAAAAATGTTTTCGATAGTTATGTGAAAGTAAATTTAGTGAAAAAGGGGAAAAGCATTTTTTAACATATATATAGTAAATTGAATGAAATAATTAAAATTTTAAATATAACCTCTTGAATAAAATAATGGTTTTACTTCGAAATTTTATTCTTCTCGCATCGATTTGTGGTAAGAAATGTTTTAAATTGGTAGATTTTGGTAAAAATTAGAGTTTCTGATCAATTTTCTACAGTGTAAATACGAATTTTCGGTAATGAAAGGTTTCCTAACCTCAAATGTCACCGATCAATAAACAAATAATTTGTGTATAGAGCATGTTTACAATATCTTTAAATAAATTAAAATCGAACGGTATAAATATATTTAGAAAAGAACAAAAATACAAATACAAGGAATAGTTTTTTTTCAAATTTCTCAAGAATCGATAAAATGCCATAAATGCCAGATTTTTGACAGATGATTTTGGAGCAACTGTCAGATTCTTTCATACTTGCTGTATACAAACAGATTACTTTTTCTAATTTTATAATATTTTCTAGGTGTTTTTCCGAGTAGTAGAGCATCACGAGTTCTGGAGTTGAGCGATAGGTAAATATTTGAAATTCCAAGAAGCTAATTAAAAATTCTTTTCAATATTAAATTGACAATTTTAATTCATTAGATTTCTGGATATACGTAAAGAGGGACAATGGTTACTCATGGTAAGTAAAAATGAAATCGAGATTTTAAGATAATAATCTCAAAAATTAATTAATAAGATTAATTTATTCTTCAGATGTACGCTCCTTGGTGTGCACACTGCAAAAGTTTAGAACCAATTTGGTCTCACGTAGCTCAACACCTCTACGCTAGTCCAATTCGCGTTGGGCGTGTGGATTGCACTCGATTTACAAATGTGGCTCAAACTTTTAAAATCAAAGGTTTTCCAACAATTTTATTGTAAGTTAAAATCTTTTTAGAATTTCAAAAAATTAATTTTAACTAAATCAGTATTTTAAATTTAAATGAAATTTAACTGTCAAAGAGAGTAAAATAAACAAATTTTAGCTTGAAAGGAGAACAAGAATTCACCTATCATGGCGATAGATCGAGAGATGAAATTGTCAATTTCGCATTGAGATTGAGTGGTCCACCTGTACAGGAAGTAACAAAGACTGAAAGTTTTGATTTTTTGAAAAAGGAACGAGATTTGTACTTTTTATACGTCGGTGAAAGAGTTGGACAATTTTGGGTAAGATAAATTTTTTGCGAAATCCTTTTTTCCAGGGGGGTCACAAGTTTCAGTTTATCAAATTCCCTGATAAATTTACTGACATTAGAATTATTTTCACTGACAAAATTCTTTTTACAGAAAAATATGAAAGTTTCCAAGAAAAGAGTAAAATTTATGAATTTTAATACTAATTTCTAAACATTAAAATTATAATTTATAACCCTATCTGAATTCAAATATTTTTTACAATTTTCAATTAAACTTCATCTCTAAATCAATTAATTTAAATAATTTTCCAAAAGTTCCTCTAGAATTCAATTATTTGAATACAAAAACTCAATTTTTTATAATAATTGTAACTCTCCATAGTTTTTTTTTTCTTAAATTATTTTAAAATAATTTTTGAAAAATAATAGTTTTCTAATTTCCAAAAATTTCCAAACAATTAAAATTTGGTAAAATCTTTTAAAAATAATTGAATTTTTGAAAAATATAAACAAAAATGATCAAATTTTTGAAGAATTTTAATTATAAAAAAGACTTGATTTCTCAAAAATTTTAATAAGTCGAAAAAGTAACATTTCATAAATTTTTATTTACGTTGTTCGATGATAATTGAATCTTAAAAAATTATTATAAAACAATTCTAATAATTAGTTTTTAAAAATATTTTAATGGAATTTTTCGAAAATAATTGAAGAATTTTTGTATAATTTAAAAAAAACTAATTCATTTTTTAATGAATTTTAATTAAAAATTTTGAACATTTTGGAGAAAACAATTTTTTTTTTATTTTTTTTTGTATTTGAATTTTTATGTCATTGAAAATATTGAATTTTAAAAAATTAGAAGCTAATTTTCATTAATTTTCTTTTTTAAATTTACCTTTAAAGATTTTTCATCAAAATTTTTGATATTTTAATTATTTTCAAAATTTGCAATTAAAATTCTTCTAAAGTTGATTTTCAAAAATTTTAATAAAATAATCAAATTTTTAAAGAATTTTAATTATAAATATGAACATAATTTTCCTGGAATTTTAATATAAGTTTAAAAAGTAAGTTTTAATAAATTTTAATTTATTTTGTTCGAAAATAATTGAATTTTACAAAATTATGCTAAAACAATTTTATGAGTTAGTTTTTTGGAAATATTGTAATTTTTTGAAAATAATTACATTTTTTAAAAGAATTTTTGGATAATTTAAAAAAATTAATTAATTTTTTGATGAATTTTAATTTAAAAAATTTTGAACATGATTATCTTCTCAAAAATGTTAAAAATAATTCTAAAATGTTATTATTTTTGTATGTATTTGAATTTTTTGAAATTTGTCATTGAAAATATTGACTTTTAAAAAATTAGAAGCTAATTTTCATTTTTAAATTTACCTTTAAAGATTTTTCATCAAAATTTTTGGAATTTCAATTATTTTAAAAATATGCAATTAAAATTCTTCAAAAATTGATTTTCAAAAATTGTAAATAAATATACTTGAAATAAATTAATTATTTCGAATTAAATTTTACAAAACTTCAATTATTTAAAAAGATTTTTATTATAGATATATATTTGAAAAATTTAATTATGTTAAAAAATGATTATAAAACAATTTTGAAAGGTTTGTTTATAGTTATTTTTCGCATTATAAAAATCAAAATAAGTTGCACTTTTTTTTTTTACTAAAAATTGTATTTTGTTGCAATGTTTGGAAAAAAAGTCGAAAAAGTCGCAATTTTTAAAAATAAATCGTAAAAAGTCTCAAATTTCTTAATTTCCCTGACAAAAATTTTTTGTCCTGACATTTCCCTAACTTTACTGACATGTGGCCACGCTGAATTTTTCTCTTGGGAAAATTTTAATGAAAGTGTAATTTTTAATTAATAGGAGCTTTATCACAAGACTGCCGATGTTTTCCAAGCTCATGCTTTTTTTTACCAATCTCATCCAAAAGTCGTAGATAAACATGCACCTGTAGAAAATACACCCGCCTTATTTGTATATAAAGAAAGCACTCATTACAATTTTACAGGTAAAGAATTTTCCTTTGTAATTTGTACTTGATATTTTAAAAATACAATTATATTTTTAATTTTTTTTTTATATTTTAAATAAAAGAAGAATTTCTATTTTAAAGGTCACAACGTGAGCAGCATTGATGTAATGAATAAGACTTTACACAAGTGGGTGAATGCCGAAAGATTTTCAAGTTTTCCAAAAGTCACTCGTGGCAATATAAATCAGTTATTTTTAACAAATAAGAATTTAGTCCTCGCAGTTGTCGAAGAAAACCAACTGGAGGAAATGACTCCAGATATGATAGAATTTAGAGACATGATTGAATCGTTGATAAAAACGAAACGAGACAAATATCATGAGTATGTTTCGATATTCTTTGAGCGAATTTGTAAATTTTTGACATTGTGATTTAATTTTTCTTTTTCTTTCTAGGCATTTTCAATTTGGTTGGATAGCCAATTTAGATCTAGTCAATAGTATAGCAATGATGGTCGTTCCTTTGCCAAATTTAATGGTAATAAACACGACAACAAATCATCATCACTTTCCAGACGACGAACCGGGAAAACTAACTCCTCACGTAATCGAAATATTTCTCGAGCAAATTCGGAGTGAAAATGTACCGGTAAGAAAATTCGCCTTTATTTATTAAAAATAAAAAAAAAACTCAAAGACTAATTCAAATTCTATTCAAATTTTTAAGAAATACGGTGGAAATAGTTGGTTCGTCCACTTCTTTAGATTTTGGTTCGAAACAAAAACCACTCTCACAGCAATGTGGAAGGGAAATCCAGTTTTAACAACAGTCATATTTGGTTTACCGGCGGGATTTTTATCTTTAATTTGCTACGGAATTTGCTGTCCTGATATTTTAGACGCCGACGACGAAGAAGAAGGTAAATTTCAATATTATAATCGGTAAAATTCAAAAATATAGTAATTAAATAAATTTCTATTCTACAGAAGAAGAAGAAAAGAAACATATAAAGAAAGACTAAGGAGATACGACTTAATAATCCAGAAATAATAAAACATTCCATTGAAATGCTGTTTATAACAAATTAACAATTTAGATTAAAACTTAAGTTTTATCTTCCTCATAAAATACGAATGTGAAATACCTCTCAATGGAATTCAGGTGAGACAATACGCAAAAATGTGTTTCAGTGATATTGTAAATGAATATTTTAATTATAAAATACGAAAGTCAAACATAAAGAGAAAATTTAAGGAAATTACTCTTAAAAACAGATTCGATCAATGTGTGTATTTAATTTGTAAAATGTTTTATAATTGACTTAGGCGTGAATCAAAAAAGAAAGAAAAAAACTTTAGTCGAATGTTTAAATTTCACTCTTATATGAAATAAAAAATAAAGCAATAAATCTACCTGGAAATTAAATGAAGCGTAGTATTAAAAATATGGGCAGTCTTTTTTGCGAAATGTTACAAATCGTCGTCCGAATCCAAAGCAGCTCTGCGCCTATCGAACTGAAATTTTATAATTATTTCTAAATTAGTGATTTTGCTTTTATATTATTTTATATATTTTGTTATTATTTTCATCGAAATTTAACCAACCTTGATAGTCGTTGTCCTTTTTGTGTGCTCACTAACACTCTCCAGAAGACTAATTAATTCCTTCTCGCCGAGTTTACCAGGAAGTTGACCTCGTTTCGCCATGTTTACTATCATTTCTTCGATCATTTTTCCCTTTTCCGGTTTACCAAGCGAAAGAGTATTTACTAGAAGACAAAAAGACAATTAAGGTAAGTTTTTATTTTAATATTCCTTATTGTTGAGTCAGGATTGCCAAAAAAATTTAATTTTGTTTTTCCCTGACTTTTCTCTGATTTCCAGACTTTTTCCTGACTGATTTTGACTTTTTCCCTGACCCTAATTAAATTTATTTACGAATTTCCTTAATTGTAAAATTATTCGAAAACCAATAACAATTGTTTACAATTCAATTTTACAAAATTTCGATTAGTCGGAAATTCTCCAATCAAATATGTATATTAGAAAATAAAAACTTCAAATAATTTCAAAAGAATTCGAAATTAAACTTTAAAAAAAAATTAATTCTACAGAATTGTTTGTTAAAAGTAGGAAAAATTCAAATTTAAAAAAATTTTAATTTGAAACCTTTTCCAAATTTAATTATTTCTAAAAATTCACCATATAATGCTAATATTTTTTTTCGTATTTTTAACTAAAATTCTTCTTTAAATGCATTATTTTTAATAAATTTTGAAAAAGTTCTTTGAGAATTTTCGAATTCATTTATTTACAATTCAATCTTACGTGAAATTTTGATTATTCGGAAATTCTTCTATTAAATATACATTAGAAAATAAAAACTTGCAATAATTTTAAAAAATTTCGATTAAGCTTTTTTGAAAAAAATTAGTTCCATACAATTAGGTATCAATTGAAAGTATGAAAAATTCAAATTTTTAAAGATTTTAACTTGAAACCTTTACTAAATTCAATTATTTCTAAAAATTGCAATTTTATTTGTAACTTCTCCAAAATTAAATTATAATTTAAAACTTGAACTGAAATTAATTTTCAAATCAATTTTAATTAAAAAATTCTACGAGAATTCAATTATACATAATTATATCAACAAATTTTTAAATAATTAAATTTTTTTGACGAATTTTAATAAAATTTTTTAAGAATAATTACATTTTTCGAGGAATTCGATTAAAATTGTATTAAATATAATTGTAATTCTGCAATCAGTTTTATTGTTTATGAAAATAATTTACAATTTTATAAAAAAAATGTCAAACAATTGACTTTTTTCGAAACAATTTTTTGCAAATTCTATTTTTAATAAGTGAATTCCAGTGAAATTTTCATTATTTTAGAAAATAATTAAATATTCAAGTAGAATTTCGTCAAAATTGTTTTAAATAATTTAATTCTTTTGCCAAATTTTATTAAAATAATAGATATACAAATTATTGAATTAAGAAAAAATTTGGAAAATAATTGAAATTTTGCAATGAATTTTACTAAAATTTTTCAAAATAATTGAATTTTATTACTTTTGCAAATAATTGAATTCTTGTGATGAATATTGTTATTTATTTAAAAATTATTTATTTATTTAAATTAAAAATTTATGAAAATAATTAAATTCATGAAAGAAATTTAAAAATTTATGAAAATAAATAAAATCACGAAAGGAATTTTAAAATCTATGACATCTATGCATCTATACATCGAAGAATTTAATGCAAAATTTTAAAACTGAAAAAATTTATTCAAATTCTATTTTTAATAATTGAATTGCTGTGAAATTTTTATTTTTTTTAATATTTGAATGTCCGTGTAGAATATTATAAAAATTTTTATTTAATAATTGAATTTTTTTTAGGAAATTTTATTAAAATAGTAGAATATTTAAAATCATGGAATTAAATAAATGTTTGTAAATAACTGAAATTTAGCCATGAATTTTATTGCAATTTTTAAAAATAATTTTGAATTTTATTACTTTTGAAAATAATTGAATTCTTGTGATAAATACTATTATTTATGATAATAATTGAATTTTGCAATAAATTTTATTAAAATTCCTGAAAATAATTTAATTTTGTAGATTTTTTGAAAATAATTGAATTTCTGCTAAGAATTATTATATTAATTTTGAAAATAATTGAATTTTGCAATGAATTTTAAAGATTTTTTAAAAATAATTGAATTTCGGCGAAGAATTTTATTAACTTTGAAAATAATTGAATTCTTGTGATAAATACTATAATTTACGAAAAGAATTGAATTTTACAATGAATTTTATAAAAATTCCTGAATATAATTGAATTTTGGCGAAGAATTTTGCTATTTATAAAAATAATTGAAATTTTGATGAGAATTTTTAAAAATTTTTGTAAATTGAATTTCTGGAAAGAATTTTAAACTAATTTTAACAGAATTGAAATTAAAATTTTTCAAAAAAATACTTCATTAAATGATTTATAAGGAATAACTTTATGGCAGTTCTTCAATAGAATGAAGTTATTTAATATAAATTATTGTCAGAAATAGAAAAAATGTAAAATTTTCTTTTAGAATTCGTGGTAATTTCCTAGTTTATGAGTCAAACAAAGAAACACAAAAATTCAGAATTTTCTTATAAATTCTAAAATTTGAATTTTTTCCAATACTTTTAATAAAAATCCCTGACTTTTCCCTGACCAATAAATTCTACTTTCCCTGACCAATAAATTCTACTTTCCCTGACCTGTGGCAAACCTGTTAGTGAAAATTGCGTAAAATCATAAAATCTTACATCTAGCTCTCGCCGACTGATCAAGAACTTGAGATAGAATTCCATTTTTCATATCCTCTATTTGTTGCCTTTTTTCTTCATTGGCTTGTTGATTACCAGCATCATTGCCCTAAAAATAGTATGAGTAATGTATTAGAAACCAATTTTAGTTTCATTCCAGGAGAACGAAATAAATATACCCTCGTCAACCTAACCTCAAATTTCGATTTTCTACAATTGCGTCTGTTAATAATTTTCTTTCTACAATCAAACATAAGATAAAAGCTATAGATAACATTAATAAGTAAAAATATATAAGCAAAAATTACTTGTACATCTATTTTAATGAAGAATACGAAAAACTGTCAATAGAAACCGGATATATTTGAAAGATTTGAAACAATTTGAGAGCTATGAAAAATAGGATTTTTTCACGATATTTACCTTATATTGTGATTGCAATTGAGCCATACGTTGTTTACGAAGAGCTTCCAATTCTGGATCTGCCATTTTATTTTATTTATTACGTCTTTCGGATAAAAATTTTGAAAATAAATTGATAAATTATAACAAATCTGTACCACAATACCACATGCAGTGCACACACACACAAATGCAAAGATTGCATTTTCACTGTAGATGGCACTTTGGATAATGGCGCGAAAAATTCAAATGTTAAAAAATTGTAGGAGAAAAAAAATTGTTGCTGCATTGTAAACTTTTATTCCTTTTATCGTTACAAGAGAAAGGAAATTAGGAAAATATTTTTAGAAATAGAAAGACGTCTATTATTTCATCAGAAAGGTTTTTAATATTTTTTCCCCATTCATTATCGGAATCAGAATTCGTCTCATTTTTGACATGCTTTGACACGCATAAACAACAGAGAAACAACACGGGGGTCAAATAGGTTAGTTTTTCGAGATCAGAAAATAAAAAATTAATTGTTCATAATAATTTTATATAAATTTATAAAAATAGGGTATAAAATAATTCAAAAAACGACATTTTCCGAAAGTAACACTTTTTGAATTAATTTTCTGTACTTACATATTAAATTTAAATCTATAATATAAAAAATTACGAGAAGAAAAAATAATATGGAAAACGAACTAACCGTCAAACATTTGAATAGAAATAAATTGTTGTACTTGTAAATTTTTATCGTTACAAGAGAATATAGAAATCAGGATAAAATTTAAAGAAATCAGAAATACATAAATACTTATATTTTGTCAAGTTTATTATACTAGCTCCTCCGACGGCCGCAAGCGGCCGTCTACGGTGCTAGTTTTTATATGTCCATTGTCCAAGTCCATTATTTCATTAATAATAATATTAATTATAATATTCAAATTTTTTCAGTTAACAATTTGCTTATTTATATTTCAAATGTTGACGTTTTTTTTTTGACAATGCAAAATAAGATTTATTATGAATACTTTCTCTTAACAAAAATAAAATTTATATATTCGCGCTCTTTTTAAATAACATACGACTGCAGCGCCACGTTTACATGTCCAAACAATTTTGAAAACACCCTTCTATTAAGATTTTACATTCTCATTGCCCATTCTTTATTTCGATACTTTTCGATACATTCGACCTTTCCACTCCATGTCTTTTTTAAGAAAGGATCAATATTTATTCTCTTCATTATCAAAATCGAAATAAAGAAAAAGAAACCGGATTGCTCGAATAAATAAAATTTTGTTTTGAGCACAAAAAATACATCGGGTCAAATAGGTTAGTTTTTCGAAACCAAAAACTCAAAAATTAATTATAAAGTAATAAAAAACGGTATAAAATAATTCAAAAAGTGTCTGGATAAATAACTCTTTGATGGTGAATTAATTTTTCAAATTTTATTTATTTAAATCTATATCAAAAATTACGAGAAGAAAATAAAATTTGGTATATGGTAATAACAAATAACATAAAGAAACCACAAAATTACAATTGAACAATTGAACAATAGAAACAATTCGTAAATATATGCGCATATTAATTTTTTTAATTAATAGCTTTTTAACGACATATTTATAATTCTTTTCTTGTTTATAAATTTTTTCAATAAAAATGTACACTAAAAATTGTTTATTTGTATATATATTTTATTTTTCAGTTATGGAACTAGAACTATCGTACCATGGAGGCATCCAATTTGGAGGTGTTTTATTCCTGGGTCTTCCTCTTGTCATTGTTGAACTCAAACTATCAACGGTAAAATTGCTATCAGTTCTTCGTCTACGAGTATCATTTGCATTATTATTGTTTATTATTTTAGGACTGTCATTGTCATTGTCTAATACAACGAACGCTTGGTTATTGTCACTGTAGCGTCTGGAATCCTTGGCAAAACTTGGAGAATAAGGTCTTTGACAATCGTCATCATTATCATCTAAATCGTGCGTTGTGACATGTATCTTCTCGGAAGACGGCAAGGACGGAGATCTCTTCCTTCGGGAAAATCCTCTCGGTTCATCAACGTTGCACACGTGCAGACGATACGTTGGACTTGGCGATCGATTTCGCAAAACTTGATGATCCGCCATGTCTATCGAGGGTCTTGGAACTAAGGACGATCGAGATCCTCTGGAAAGTGGTAATTATTGCAAATTTCGGAAAAGACGATTTTTTTTACTATTTTCAGAAAAAGCGACTTTTTTATACTTATTTTTAAAAAAATGCGACTTTTCAACTTTTTCTAAATTGCAACAATAAAGTACTTAACAATTCTTTTTTGTATGAAATGCAAATAAGTTCTATTCTTATAATGCGGAAAATAAATAAAATCAAATATTTCTAAATTTATTTTTGAATATTTTTCTAAGATTTTCTTAATTAAACTTTCGAAATATATAATTAAACAATTTTTCAATAATTCAAATTCTGTAGAATTCTATGGAAAATAAAAGATTAAAAAATTAAAAGTTTTCAGTAGAACTTTTTAAAATCAAATTTTGAAAAATTTTAATTGCAAATTTTAAAATAATTGAATTCTCAGAAATTTTAAAGAAATATTAATAATTATTTCAAAAAACAGTAATATTAAGAAATTTTTCTATAAAAAGTAATTCATAAAATTTTTTCCATTATAATTTCTTTAAAATTCCAGTATTTTCAATATTTTCAATTACACATTTTGAAAATTCAATTATTTTCAACATTTTCAATTCCATATTTTGAAAAATTAAAATTTCTGCAAAAAAAATTTACGTAATAAGTTTCTTAAAAACTTAAGTTTTTAGAATTATTAAAATTTTTAGGAAATGATTAATTTTAATATTTTTAATTAAAATTTCTTCAACAAATTGTTTAACTTTTTTAAATTATACAAAAGTTCTTGTAACAAACTCAGTTATTTTTGAAAAATAATATTACAGATATTTTTGAAAAAATAATTAAAAAATATTTTTTATCTTAATTTTTAAAAATACAATTATCTACAAAAAAATAAATTAAAATTTCAAGAAAATGTGATTTATTAGATTTTTGTAGGAACTCTGATGTTGTATTTTAAGAAATCCGGTTTTTCAAATTTATGATAATTTTTAATATAATTTTAAGTTTTTTACCAAATGGTGGAGACTATTAAATAGATAAAGTGTTTCTAAAAAGCCCAAAAATATTGAAGCTAAATGCCATAAAAGAGAAGAAAAAATTTTGAATTTTCAAAAAAACGGTTTTTCGAAATTTTGATAATTTTTAATAATTTTAAATTTTTCACCAAAGGGTGAAGACAATTATTTAAGTTAAGTGTTTTTAAAGAGCCCAAAAATAATGTAGCTAAATGCCATAAAAAAGATAAAAAAATGTTTGAATTTTAAGAAATTCGGTTTTTCCAATTTTTGATGATTTAAAATAAATTTAAATTTTTTACCAAAGAGTGAAGACTATTAATTAAGTAAAGCGTTATTAAAGAGCCCAAAAATATTAAAGACAAATGCCATTAAAAGGAAAAATAAATGTTTGAATTTTAAGAAATTCGGTTTTTCGAATTTTTGATAATTTTTAATAATTATTATCGCTTTGAGGAAAATGATTGTTTTGATTATAAGAAGAATAATTGTACCTCCTACTTCCAGATGGTGGTTTTCCAACGATACTCTCTTCATGAACTCGAGTACTCAAAACTTGAAATGCATCCTGATCGTCAGCGGCATTTATTCTTCCAAACTGTTCACTGTTGTTATTATTAACCCAATAATTGTCCTTTTTTCTGGAAGCACTGAGACTGCGTTCACGATGTCGATGCATACGTGGCTCATTGAAAACAGAGAGACTTGGCCTCGAACAATAGGCATTTTTGTATTCTGGTTCGAGATCCAAATTTCCTTCTAAACGTAAATTTGCCGGCATCCTTAGGGTCTCGACTCTCGGTATTTGACCGTAGGATACATATTGAGATCTAACTTCGCTCGTTGTTTCCAGGTCGTGACGTCTCGGTTCGTGGAAGCTCATTCTACTGGCATTTGCACTTGTCCTTCCGGACGACACGACAACTGGTCTTAAAGGTGGTTTTCGATGCAGCGGACGTTCACGTGACAGATCAAGATATATTGATTTATATTCTGGATCTTGATCGATTTTCGATGAGAATTTTGTGTGCACTGGAGATGAGGATACTTTAGAACCATCGGCCCTGCCGATTTCGTCTTCTGGTTTTACTAACTTTGGCCTCTCTCTCGGAAAATCCTTTTCACGTAAGTTCAAAATAATAATTAATTTATTAATTAATTATTAATTAATAATAATTTAGTGAATATTTTCGCACAATTCTTTATATTTATTGTAATTAAAGAACAGAATAGAATAATTAGAGAAATAGGATACCTTGTAGGCTGCTTTATATTCTGGAATTTCCAGAGGAGGTCCCTTGAGATCTTCCAATTTTGACACTAGCATTTTCATTTCTTCTTTTTTGTGCCTCTTCTCTTCGTCTTTTTCACCATCTTTCGTTTTGTTTTCCTTGTCTTCTAAATCCTTTGCATGTTCTGCCATTAGTTGAGCTTCTTTCGAACGAGGACTTGCGAATTGTTGACTAGCTTCAGTTATTTGATAAAAATCCCCACATGATCTTAAGTTTGCTTCTGGTTTTCTTAAACCTTGTCTCCCTGAATAGAATCATTTTTTTTAGAATCATTGAATTAAATAAATATTATTCAATTAAATTAAACTGGTAAATGGTCAACTTTTTGAAAAAATATTTTCTAATCCTTTTTTCCAAACAAAATCGATTTCTAATTAAATCACTATTCTATTTATTATTATTTTGAAAATTACAAAATTTTATATTTGAAATTATAAAAATCAATTTTTGAATAATTTCTGATTTAAAATTGAGATTATTAATTAATAAATTAATTATTCTTATTTATTATTTTTAAAAATTGTTAATAAAATTTTTCGCTAGAATTCAATTACTTTGATGAATAATAATTCTTTGGGAGGAATTCAAATATTTTTATAAATAGTAAAATTCTTCGTAGGAGTTCAATTATTTTCAGAAAATAATAAAATTCTTTGCCGAAATTCTTCAAAATTTTCAATACAATTGAACCGCCGGATCGTAGAAGGGCATATAGCCAATGTAATTCAAATGGGCTATATGCCCTTCTACGATCCGGCGGTTCAATTTCAATTAAACTCCTCCAATAAATTTAATTATTTTCCAAAAATTGTAATTAAAAAATTAGTTTTCAAACAATTTAACTATTTTCAAAAATTTTAAGTAAATTCTTGACAAAAAGTCGATTATTTTTTTAAATAATAAAATTTTTTGCAGAAATTTCAATTATTTTCAATTCAGTTTTAGAAAAATTTCACGAAAAGATTGAATTATTTCTTAAAATTTAAATAAAATTCTTCGAAAAAAAAATTATTTTCAAAAATTTTTTTCAAATTCTTTACAAAAATTTAATTTGTATTTCCAATAAAATTTCAATTAAATTTAATATTTTCAAAAAATTGTAATTAAAAAATTATTTTTCAAAGAATTCAATTATTTTCTAAAATTTTAATTAAATTCTTGACAAAAATTCAATTATTTTCAATACAGTTTTAGTAAAATTTCATGAAAAGATTCAATTATTTCTTAAAATTTTGATAAAATCCTTCGAAAAAAATCAATTATTTATTTTTTTAATATTTAAATTTTACAAAAATTTTATCCTAAAATCTTGATAAAATTTTTCGAAACAATTCAATTACTTTTATAAAATATAAATTTTTTAAATTGTAAATTCTTCGCAAGAACAAAATTTTATTTACAAATAATAAAACTCTTTCCATAAATTCAATTAAATTTCAGTGCAATTTTAATAAAATTTCTCGAAAGGGTTCAATTATTTTTCAATATCGTAATATAATTTTTCTATAAAAATTCAATTATTCTCATAAGTTTTGATAACATTTTTTGAAAATTTCAATTACTCTCAAAAGTTTTGGTAAAATTCTTTGTAAATTTCAATTATTTTCACGATTTTCAATTAAAATTATAAAAATTACATTATTTTCAAAGAAGTTCTTCAAACAAAATTTAATTACTATTTGCAATAAAAATTAAAAACCTAAATTTAATATTTAAAACCTTAATAAATAATTTTTTTATACGCGGCGCAAAAATTGAAATAAAATGTCAAATTTGCTGATGAAATAAATTAAATTTCTTTCATTTGAACATTTAGAACTTTAGAAATATTATTTTCTAATAATTTTCTATTTCTAAAAGTTATTTAACAATTTCTGGCAAGTTTTTGGTTTCTAAAATATATTTTTTCTAAAATTTGTGAAATTCAAAAATTTTTCCAAATAATAATTTTTTAATTGAAAATAAGACTTTACTAAATTTTAATTTTAATTTTTTAAAATTTTTGTTCTAAATAATTAGAAATAATTTCCGCAATTTCAAATTAAATGAATTAAATTACGTTGTTGGAAAATGAAATTGATGAAAATTGGTAGAAATTTGACATTGTTAAAAATTAATCTTCATTAGAAAAATTAAAAATTAGAAATATTTTCAGTAAATAAAAATTAGAAATTGAACATTTTGTTGGAAAAAAATTTTAGGGAATAAAAAATTAGAAAATACGTTTTAGAAATACTTAGAAATGTAGAGAATAAAGAATATACTCAGAAAATATTCTATTATAATTTTATAAAGTAAAAGAGAATAGAATCGGATTTATAATTTACCTGCATAATCGTACTCCTTGAATACGGCAGAATACTCAGGAAGAAATCTAGCCTCACCCTCTAATTTTAAATGAGAAGTTTGTTTCAGTAATTCCGGCCGCTTAACACCAACAAAAGGAATATAACTGTCGTGCGATTCAGTCGTTGTTTCAAGATCACCCTCAAGTTTCAAATGTGTTGACAATCTTATAAGCTCTGGTCGACTGACATTAAGCCACTCTATGAACTTTTCAGATTTTTCAGTCATTGTTTCCATGTCACCCTCCATTTTCAATGATGTTGGTCTCCTCATTAATTCCGGTCTGTGAAAACCTTCGTGATGAATGAATAGTGAATTTTCAGTGTTTGTGTAAAAATTGTCTTCGTGCGCTTTTTTCATGGAACTGGAAAAAAAAACAGAAAAATTATAAACAATGACAAATTTTTTTACAAATGAAAAATTAAATGTTTTCTTAATACTGTTTGAAATATACTGTTTTCTTAATTAAGGAAGGTTATATGTAAATACCTGTTTATGAGATTTGCATTTAATTTTGAGGTATCTACTTCAGTCTCCATAATTCCTTGGCCATCAGGTAAAGATAAATTGCTTGGCAGTTGTTCTGGGTTATTTGAATTGCTTTCTACTAACTGACTTTGGTTCTCTAGAGGTTCCTGAGTATTTTGTAATTCATCCGGTTTCAAACTGTTTTCTGATCTTTTTGTCCTCGTTGGTTCCTAAAAAATCGTTACTTTTGAATTAGAAAAATATAATATAATAAAAAAAATATTTTTAATAATTATATTTATTATGTTATAATAGTACCATTTGGTAGAAATAAAACAATATTAAATAAAATTTTTTTTGCAGATACGAAACTAGAGAGAAAATTATACCAACGAACCTTGTTCAAGTCGAAGGTGACATCAGTTTCAGCACCAAAAGCTCGCCGATATTCTGTTACTAAATTTGGTATAATTTCCTCTGACGGGCATAAACCTAAGGTGTCTTTTGGCTGATCCTTGATTTTTTTCCTTCGATATCGAGCAAGTTCGTCAACTGAGAGGCCTTCGTTGAAGGGCCACTTTTCCTTGCTCTTCTGTTTGCGATTCTTATTCTTTCCTCGCGCTATCTCTGTATCCGAGGATGATTTGTTAATTCCATAGGAAGACTTTTGCCTTTTGGAAAATAATTCAGAATAGTTTCTGTTAATAGGTAACACAAATTTATAATTAAATTAATAATTAAATTTATAATTCAATTAATACTTAAATTAATAATTAGTAATTAAATTTTTAATAGAAAAAAACGTTTATTAGAAACAAATTTACGAAATAAATTAATTTTTGAAACGTGGGTGAAGTTCGCAACATTTATGACCAACGATTAAATAAAATTTGTACTTTCTAACAAGGAAAATAGTAAAATGTTGTTAATAGTAATTTAATAACTATAATTTATTGCCATAATTTAATATAATTCTAAATTAAATTTAGTTGTCTAAAACTTTTTCCTTTGGAAATATTTGATAAAGAAACTTTGTAAAAAATTTTTTTATACAAATTTTACGAAAACTTGGTTAGGAAAATATTTTTTCTTTAAAACTCGTTGGTTGTAAATGTTGTAAACTTCACCAAAGTTTTTTGAAATCAATTTTCATTGAGAAGTAAACGAGAGAAAAAAAAATTAACTGGAAAAAATGTAAATTTGATTTCACTATTTACACTGGAAAAAAATTCCTTTGATTCAAATAACCGATTGTCTTCTAAATATTTATTTGAATTAATTAATTTTTATTTTGTATTTGAACAAATAATTTCAATATTTAAAGTAAATGCGATTTAATTTATTTAAATAGCAACATAGTTAAATAAATAAAATTTAAATAGCAAAATAGTGGAATAAAATTTAAATACAAATAGAATAAAAATTAATTTAAGTAAAAATTGAAATAAATTGACTAAACAAATAAATTTCAAAAATAAGTAAATAAAATTGCGCCAAATAATCGTTTATTTGAATCGAATAATTTTTTTCCCAGCGTAGAATTGTTTTGAATTGAATAGAAAAAATTTGTACACTCTCTCGAAATTAAATCAACGCTTCTTTCGATTTTTTCGCAGTAATTCCAAAGAAAGAAGCGATTATTTTTGTTCTGAATTAAAGAAAAATTGTACACACTATCGAAATTAAATTAACGTTTCTTTCAATTTTTTCGCAGTAATTCCAAAGAAAGTAGATAAAACCGATTGTTTTTGTTTTGAATTTAAAAGAAATTGTACACAGTATCAAAATTAAATTAACGCTTCTTTAAATTTTTTCGCAGTAATTCCAAGGAAAGAAGATTATTTGCAACGAATGAAGAAGCAAGTATTTCGGTTGATCGTCTGAATAAAACTGAAATCTTTTTGACTAGACCAGATATGGTAGGTCGGTGCTGTGTCAGGAGTGAGAAAGGGGTAAAAGTAGCAATGGGGATTCGTTCCGAGAGAGCTGGTGGAAGGTACAGGAAGAGAGGGTGGTACCTGTACTTTATAGTGCATGCCATTACAGAAGAACCAACCGACGAGACGCATCGATCTCTACAAATTGAGGTAACCACAGAGAAGTATATAAAAATGAGAAAAAAGGCATTTGAAAAATAATTCTTGACGAATAATGACTTTTTATCACGAGAACTATCAAATATTATAGGCGATCGTACCATTTGTCATTTCTATTTTCTTTTTGACTGTAACTTGTTTCCTTTTTTTTTATTGGAAAAAAAATATACTCCTAGTACGAATGTCGCCAGGGTCACTGGAAAATAAGCTCTGGACCGCAAATTGTCTCTTATTTCATGTTTTTACTTATTGGGTTCTTTAAAAAGTAATTGATTATTTGCATGCTAATGCGAGAAACGAAAATTACTACCTATCTGCTTTAAAGAGTAGAAAATCATTTTTAAAATGGGAAAAAATTATCAGTTTTCGAATCAACTATTTTGAGTAATAAAGAAAATTCTTTCGTTTTACTCTTCACTAAATTAATTCAAATGCGTGGACAATAATAATTTTTAAATATATTAAAGTTTTAATTTTATCAATTAAACTGATTACTTTATTTCTCTAATAAAAGAAATATTTTTTATCTAGAAGACAAATTTGTTTTTTACTTTCACAATTTTTGGGGAAAATTAAAATGAATTCTGTCTAAATCTCAATTAGCGAAAAGTTGCCAATTAATTGAAATTAGTAAAAAATGTCTACTAGTTTCAAATAGAAAAATAAAAATATTTAATAAACTAGCAAATGTTAACGTCCGTCTCAAAGCCTTAAAAATTTAAAAACAAATTAATTATTATTGTTTATATTTTCAAAAATTTAAATATAATTTATTCTTCGCAAGAATTCAATTATTTTCATAAATTATAACATTCTTCAGAAGAATTCAATTATTTTTATAAATAGTAAAATTTTTAGACAAAATTCAATTTTCTTATAAAATTTTTAATAAAATTTCACGAAGGAATTATTTGGTTATAAAATATTTCCAAAAGAATTTGAATTTGAAAAATTTTTAAAAATCCTTGGATATCCTTAAAAAAAAATTCAATTATTTTTAATACAATTTTAAAATTTTTTCATAAAATAATCCAATTCACAGAAGAATTTAATTATTTTTAAAATTTTTTATAAATCTTTAACAATTTAATTACTTTTTTAAAATATAGTAATATCTTTGCAAAAATTCAATTATTTTTTTTAAAAAATTTCAATAAATCTTTCGAAACAATTCATTTTTTAAAAATTTTTATTAAAATTATTTTAGAAAATTGTAATTTTCTAAAAAGAAATTAATTAATTAATTAGATAATTAATAATTAATTAATTAATTAATTAATTAATTAATTAATTACTAATTATCTAATTAATTAATTAGTTAATTATTTTTTAAAAATGCTAATAAAATTCAATAATTTAATTGATATTATTAAAAATCACGATTATTTTAAAAACTTGAAAGAAATTATTCATAAAATTCAATTACTGTAAAAATTTTCAATTAAAATTATTAAAGAAATTCCATTATTTAAAATAAATTGAAAAAAATTCTTCAAAAGAATTTATTTAGGATTTTCAGAAATTTTATTAAATTAAATAGATCTTTTTAATTGATTTGAATTTTGAAGTTAAAGAAATTTTAATTTAATCTTTTGTAGATTAAAAAATGACAAAAAATAATTAAACGAAACTGTTTTGAATTAAAAATTATAATTTTAATATAAATTTAATTTAACATTATTAATTGTCCGGTCTATTAATAAATATTCATAAAAATAAATATTCTAAAATAAAAAAATAATAGATTTAGAGAATAAGTTTTGAGAATATTATTTTTGCAAGAAAAGTTCAGAAATTTTTTTTATTTACCATAATTTTCAGTTAAAATTTTAAAATACAGGTGTATTTTACTTTTAAATGATGTGTACCTGAATTTTCAAATTAGTATTATTGAATTTTCAGTTAAATTTTTATAAATATTGAGTTCTTAAGTTCATTTTATTTATATATTTTGCTACATTTGACAGAATCTGTCATTAAAATTCGCTTCTTCAAGGTAGCGTGGCCGAGCGGTCTAAGGCGCTGGTTTAAGGCACCAGTCTCTTCGGAGGCGTGGGTTCGAATCCCACCGCTGCCAATTTTTTTGCAAACGAGAATTCAAGCTTCTTTATTCATAAACAGACGTTTTTTTTTAAACTGCAAATTTAAAAACAAATCTCTCTAAATCTAAATTAGTAAAAAATAACTAATTATTTTCTACAATTTTCAACTGAACTTCAACTCTAAAGCAATTATTTTAAATAATTTTCCGAACGTTCTTCTAGAATTCAATTATTTAAATACAAAAAGTCATTTTTTATAGTTGTAACTGTCCATCTTTTTTTTAAAGTTATATTTTCAAAAAATTGTAATGAAGAAATTCTAAAAATAAATATTTTTCTATAATTTCAAAAATTATATTAAAATATTTATAAAAAAGTTTTTTAATTATATACAATTTTTGTATAATTAAAAAAAAACTAATTAATTTTTCGATGAATTTTAAAAAATTAAAAAAATTTTGAACATGATTTTTTTTCTCCAAAATGCTAAAAATAATTCTAAAATGTTATTATTTTTTGTAAGTATTTGAATTTTTGGAAATATGTAATTGAAAATAGTGAAAATATTGGATTTTAAAAAATTAGAAGCTAATTTTCATTAATTTTCATTTTCAAATTTACATTTAAAGATTTTTTTCAGTAAAATTTTTGATAATTCAATTATTAATTATAAAATTTGCAATTAAAATTCTTCACAAGTTGATTTTTGACGAATTGTAACAAAATACTTGAAAAAAATGAATTATTTTCAGTAAATTTTATAAAATTTCAATTATTTCAGATATTTTTAATTTTATATTTCGAAAATTTAATTAGAAAAAGTATTCAAAATTACTTTTTGAAAGATTTGTTTCTTGTTATTTTTCACAATATGAAATTCAAAATAAATTTGTATTTTCCACTAAAAAATTTGGTATTTTGTTGCAATATTTGGAAGAAACGTCGAAAAAGTCTCAGTTTTTGAAAATAAGTTTTAAAAAGTCTCAATTTTCTTAATTATCGTGACAAAAAATTATATTCTGTGATGCCGAATTCTCAAACAGAAAAAGTGCATCTTCACACTTTGGACCCAAAACGGCAACTGCCCAAGCCATCCCTTGGAAAACGACGCTTTCCTTGGGAGTCGTCAAATTCCTATGCCTCGCTGTCCTTGACTAGCATAGACCATATGTTTATCATATGGTCCTCGTATCGCCTAAATCTCTGAGTCTCTCATTGTTCCCGTGAAGTTAGACCCAAAGTTGTTGTCAAGCAAGTTTAAGACATTTCCAAGAATTTCCACTCCGACAAAATCAATTAATTTTTATTTGAATCAATTATGTCGTATTTGCTCCGAAAACTAAAATTATTCGTTCAAATAATTTTAATTAAATTAATTTAATTAATTTAAATAAAAATTTTTCCTTTCAAGTAAACATTTATTTGCGATAATAAAAAAGTAATCTCTTATTTTTGAATCAAATAAATCTTTTTCCAGTTCTCCTGTTGCAAAATGAGTAGAAATTAAAAATTGTTATATTTCAAGTAATCATA